GCTTCTAAATTGCAATGACAACAAAAATCCCAACAGCGTTTTTGGAAGCAGAATTAGATAAACTTATTATTTTTTAAGATTTATTTATTTAATTAATTAATTAATTTATTTATTTTAGAAGGACAGAGAAAGCAAGCATGTGCAAGCAGGGGAGGAGCAGAGGAGAGGGAGAGAGAGAATCTCCATCAGACTCCCTGTTGAGCATGGAGCCTGACGTGGGGCTCAATCCCACAACCCTGAGATCATGACCTGAGCCGAAATCAAGAGCCGGATGCTCAAGTGACTGAGCCACCCAGGCACCCTGAAATTATTTTCAAGTTAACCTGGAATAATATGCATGGAAAAATAATTAGGAAATGGTTGGGGGAGAGAATAATCAGGGAGGAGATTCATGTTCCAAATATTAAAATGTATTTTTTTAAGATTTTTTATTTATTTATTTGAGCAAGAGTGAGAGAGTGAGAGTGAGAGAGAGACACACACACAGAGAGAGAGAGAGAGAGAGAGAGAGAGAGAACAGTGGGTTGGGCGGGGCAGAGGGAGAGGCAGAGGGAGAAGCAGGCTCCCCGCTGAGCAGGGAGCCCACACGGGGCTCAATCCCAGGACCCTGGGATCACGACCCGAGCCGAAGGCAGAGGCTTAACCAACTGAGCCACCCAGGTGCCCCTAACATGTATTTTAAAGATACATTCAAGGTATTCACTCATTAAACAAAAATTTATTGAACACCTTCCCTTTGCCAGGTTCTGCTTTAGGTGCCAGTGACGGAGTACTGACAAGAACAGACAAAAAGCCCTGTTCCCATGAAGTTTAAATTCTTGTTGAGGGAAACAGACAAAGAAATAGACAAATTATAGACCGTTATAGGTCATGATACATACTATGAAGAAAAATACAGCAGTAGGAGTAATAGAGAATGCTGGGGTAGAGGAGGAGATGCTTTCTAAATATGGGCGTCGGAAAAGACCCCATTGATAAGATAACACTTGAGGAGAAACATGGAAAAGTTGAGAGAGCAAACCATGAGGGTGTCTGGGGGAAAGGCATTCCAACCGAGGGGACAATGAGTCCAAAGATCCTGGGGTAGAAGGATGCTTGCCCTATTTGTAAAATAGCAAGAAAGCCAATGTGGCTGGAATGATTGGAAGGTAAAATAGTAGAAGACGATGTCAGAGGGATAATAGCAGGGGGAGGTTATCAGGACATTTTGCCTCTAACTCTGAATGAAATGGGAAATGTGACTTGGTCTGACTTACATATATTATAAGATGATCATTCTGGCTGCTGTGTTGAAAAAGGAATTACTAACCCTTCTCCAAAAACAAGTGAGGTCCTGGTTGATAGATGACACCCAGGGGCCATGTTTCTTGACTGGATACATCTAATGTGATAAGAGGCTACACACACTAGAATTGAGATTCTCTCTACCACTCCCCAGAGCTAAGACTAGTGAATAAAAGTGTCAGCAGCGAGAAAGAAATGCCACCAGACAGTGGAAAGGACGGAGAAAAACCTCATGAAACAGAATGTTTCCTACTCCGCTGTTACCTGGGCAGTTGATCTTCTATTGCCTGATGCTACCCTTCTGAGAGAGCCGGAGTACGTCCTCAACCACTATCCCACTCATCACTGCTAACCGAGACATCGACCCTTGAAGTCATGGTGGAGGAGGTAGGGTCAGGGATGGCATTCTGGGAGACACGGTACCCACAAGTTAGATTATCAAATGGTGGGTGGAGACAGAGGAATTTTAGCAGCGTGCTAGGGGCTGTGATATTTGTGTATTAATTACATCAATCCACAGGAACTGGACTCAGTGGCAGATGTTGGAAAGCATCTGGCGTTGTAGATATAGCATGAGGGGAAAGCCTCTTGGAAATGTGGAGCTGAGCTGGGAGAACCCTCTGGCATGTCAGCAGCAGAAAATGTTGCCATGACCCCTGTGACAGGGGGCAGACTTGGTGAAACTTGCCTAATAGCTCCTGGTCTGCATGGATCCAGCCTCATTTAGGGGTAAGAAAAGAGAAAAAAAACCTTCAATTTGACCTCTATGACAAAATGCTGAGGGAAGTGTCTAATAAATATTTTAGCACTTTGTACATAAATGTATATTCAATTATAAATGTTACGTCCTTGGAATATGTATACGAAGCTCACCCTTGAATTTCCACAAATAAATACAATATAATCAGCACAGCACAGACTCAATCAAATAGGTCAGCTCTTATGCAGTATTCTTTACAAACATTATCACAAAAGGGAAGAGCTAAATATCAAATCTGATCTTCTTTTCATTAATTCATCTGAATATTAAAAACTACTGAAGGGCCACAGTAGATATTTCTGGAAGTACTAGGCTATCAGTATGTTAAGTATTGACAATGCTATTTTATGAATGAATCAAAATTGTACCCAAGTGTTTACCTGATTTTTATAAGATGCTTTAAAATTCCAAGATGCTGCTTCAGTAATTATATAATGCAGGCCAGACTCGGACAATTCTACAGTAAGTGAGAAGCCTGGACATATAAATAGCTCAGTGGATTGAACTTCAGTACTTCGAAAGTTTCAATCATTAGGAATTATGAAGATGTTAATTTTCAGTAATACATACTTTTAATAATAAGCGTAAGTAAAATTAAAGTTTTGATTTTTTTAACTTTTGCTGATTTTGAAGAAAATCAGAAAAAAGTTCTTTAAACTTTAGAGTCCTTGCAATTATCTAATTCATGAATGAAAACCAACTAATTTGGGGCAAGAAATTATTCTCCAAAGGTTGTTTTCATGACTATCTTTTAGTTTCAGGTGCACAATTTAGTGATTCAATAGTTAAAATCCTAGAGGAGAACACAGGCAGGAACCTCTGACATTAGCCGTAACAACTTCTTACTAGATACGTCTCCTGAGGCAAGGGAAACAACAGTAAAAATAAACTACTGGGACTACAGCAAAATAAAAAGCCTCTGCACTGCAAAGGAAACCATCAACAAAACTTAAAGGTAACCTATGGAATGGGAAGAGATATTTGCAAATGCCATACCCAATAAAGAGTTAGTTCCCAAAATATATTTTAAAAAAACCCATAAAACTCAACACCCCCAAAACAAACACTCCAGTTAAAAAAATACGCAGAAGACAAGAACAGACATTTCTCCAAAGAGGACATCCAGATGGCCAACAGACCCCTGAAGAGATGCTCATCATCACTTACCCTCAGGGAAATGCAAATCAAAACTACAATGAGATGCCACCCCACACCTGACAGGCTGGTTCACGTCAACAGCACAGGAAACAGCAGGTGTTGGGGAAACCCAAGAGGGTCCCCCTATCTGTCTTTTAAAAGTGATAATGATAGAGATACATAAAGGAATGGCAAGAGGAAATCATCTAGTAATTAATAATCTAAAAGAAATAATGACAGAGATAACATCAATGTTACTTTAGCATAGTAGTCTAAAACCTTAAAAATATGTACCTCAAAGGGAAAATGTTATTCATAGTTTATTATCGAGGAAAAAAAAAGTAGAACCAGTCTGAGGCCCTCTGTGTAAATGATCTCATCTTCAACCACGCATTCCTAGAATACTTTTTCTTTAATGAGCCATTTTTTGTACTTTTCATGTGTATTTAACATGACAAATTTAGACAAATACAAAAACAAAAAGGATAATGGAAATAGAATGCTGCATGTATTTAAAAGATCCATGAGCAGGGACAGAGGAGGCTTTCTCATCAATCGCCTGGCACCCTGCAGAAGGTGCATAAATCATAGATCTTGATTTTCTTTTAGGAAATAACAGTTATCATTTAAAGTTTGGTGTTTTAGTTAGAATATAAGTTTAAAAAAAAAGAGATTGCTGATCACAGTGTCATACCAATGTGTCAATCAAAGTACTGGGTAATTAAGTTATCTCTTCGATTCCCCTATAGGCTATTCTAATTAGCATACAAGCACTTTCTTAATTTGCTGTAGTCACCAAGGACACTGTGATTCTCACAGCTGTGTTTGTTATTTTACTGTCTGACAGCAAATTTTATTTGCTGTTTTACTGACTTGGAATAAAAATACATAATCGATTACCCATAATCAATCTGTTACAAATCTGGCTATGGGAAAAGGATTAATAAATCATTACAGAAACTTACTGGTTAATCAAGTTTATTCTCAGTGGCAGTCACTCCTCTCCCCATTCTCCTGCAAGAGCACAGCCCCATTTGACCGGCTTCTCCACGCTACCCCTTTGAATCCTGAGTGACTGGGGCAAAGCGGACCCCACCCCAGGTCATGAGAGGAGACAAGAGTAACCAAAATAAAACGACAGAAACCAAACAAAAGACTCCCATCCCTTTGGCCAGAGACTGGTTTCATTGCGCAAGGTTAAGCTAGTCAAGACTTACTGGGCGTTTCAGCTAAATTGGCTAATCGGTCCAGAGGAACTTTCATTCCACAGTGATGGGAAAGCTCCTCTCTCTGTGTCTTTCCCTGACTCTCTGTTTGTCTCTCTTCGTGCAAGGCAAGGACAAGAAAGCATGCCACCTCAGTGGCCGCCCGTGCGCCTCTCAGGAAGGAAGCCAGCTAACATATTGGAAAGGCCCTGACCCTCCCCTGTCTGAGCCCGTCCTACCTTCTCATGTCTTGTTATAAGAGATCAAACACTTCTTTATGGTTAAAAGTACTGATCCCCATGTGATAGGCATGCTGGTGGTGATTGCCCCACTTGGAAGAACGATGGGACTGACAGACCCCAACTCCCCGCGACACTCTGGCTGCAGAGGCAAGAACCACGGGCAGACTGAGGGCAGGATGAGCCCCCACAGTTCCCAAAGGCACCCTAGTCTCAGCTCTCTGTTCTCACAGGTTCGGGTTCTCCTGCCTGGCTGGGGCGAGGAGATTTTCTGGTTCTCTCAACCGAAAGAAGTCATCATTAGCCCTGACAGGTCAAGTGCCTTCAGGAACCAACACACCCAGACTTGAAATTGATCCAAGCAACCTTGCCTACCTTGGGCATGCAGATCACCAAATGCCCTGTCGTCTGAGATCGTTTGGCAGAGCTGCCGTCAGGCTTGACTTCTGCAGGAAGGACAAGCTGGAATGGCTGAAAATAAACAGGAAGTGTCCCAGAGAGGGAGTACATGTTATGTGAGAGGGTTACTTCAAGATGTATTTTCATTACCAATTCAAGATTCACCATTCCATTTTTAAAAACATGCTTAGACTTAGTAGAAAAAAAAAAATGTCTGGGCTATGCTTGATATGCATGAATTATTTTACCTATTTTAGTGAATGGACTAAAGAACAGTCATCAATCACAAACACTGAAACAGTCATTGGTCCATTTATGTTAACATGGCTAATAATAAAGAATTCATAGATAAAACTTCTTGTCATAAGCCATCAACATATTTCCACTTTAAAGCCTTCATATGACTCCTATGAGTGCTCGTAATCAGCCAAAAAATACTATTTCAGGGGTGCCTGGGTGGCTCAGTCGGTTAAGCATCCGACTCTTGATTTCAGCTCAGATCATGATCTCAGGGTTGTGAGATCGAACCCACACTGGGCTCTGTGCTAGGTGTGGAGCCTGCCTAAGATTCTCTCTCCCCTGCTCCTTCTCGCTCTGCGCCCCCCTCCCCGTTGCGTTTTCTCTCTCTCTCTCAAAAAAAATACTATTTCAAAAATAGTAAAATTACAGTTGCTATGAATGAAATCATTGACAATTTAAAGGGGGGTATATTATTTCAATCTAAGTTCAAGCATAGGCTATCATACATATAATCACCTTATCAGATCTGAAAGAAGTACTAACACAATAGACACAAGTTAAAAATGCTAATTTTATGGAGCTACACAGTGGTTAGTCAACAACCAATCCTGCTGTATACCACTCCCACTGTGTAAAATCATGTGTCTAAAGAATAGCTCTCTGATTGGGCTCCTTTTCTTCTCTTTTCATATTATGTTGACAGTTTTCGAGGCAACCTAGCTTAGTTTGAGGCTTGGCGTTTGAAACTGTAACAGTCTACCGCTCACCTTTCCTTTGACCATGACTCGGACATAAGTCGGCTGCACATCAACATCGATCAAAGAGGTGTCCATATACCTGCAACGTGAAACGTACCAAATCTTACCATTTTCAAAAACATTAAGTTAAAAGAAGTGCAAATAAAAACTACCATTTCTGGAACCATTTTAAATGAAAGAAGCTTCCAATTTCCATGCTCAACAGGTCTTAAGAAATCTGTCTTCCATTAATCCCTAAACCAAAGGAAATTCAATATATCAGCAATTTCATTTTTAGACCCACAAGTACTCTTGGCATTGATTGCCCCTAACCTAAAAATATCTGCGGCCTGAAACACCAGAGGTTTGCGAAAAACAGCTTGCCATGTTCTTTCATGAATATTTTATTTTAAGCCCCTGCGCCTGACATGAATAGCCAGGAAAGCTGAATCCACGACGCTTGGGGCCTGCAAGCAGCCGCTCCCGCTTCCCGAGCCGCTCTCCCTCCCCTGCAGCTGTTCCGCAGCTGCCACCACAGCATCCTGCTCTGCTTCTCCCTGCTTCTGCCTGCGAAGCTCCCTCCTGCTGAACAAGCAAAGCCTTCCATCTACGGCAGTGACCCCAGGATCAGGGGGTGACAGTTCTCCTTGACTTAAGGAACAAACGAAAGAGTTAGGCTTCATCTCGCTTGTTTAGACCAATAACCAGACATGGTAGCATTGTACATTTAACAATATTGATCGCGGACATTAGCAAATGCAGGGATGATTCAAAAGTCACACACGTTAAGACAGGTCGGATGACAGCAGGGCGACGAGCACAGGCTTCAGTCACACGGACTGTGAGCAAGGGTCTCCACCCCCTCCTGCTCCTTGGACCACGTTCCTCAACTGCTCTAAGCCTCAGGTTCTTCATCTGTAAAATATGATGTGAAGTGCCTATCCCTTAAGATTGCTGTGAAGACGCAGGCAGAGCGCCTAGTCCAGAGTTGGGGTGAACACAGCATTGTTCTATTTTATGTAATAAAAATTCTTATAAGAGTAAAAAGTGTAGGCAAGGTTTCCTAAAACCTCATGTTGAATAGCTACCGCATTAATGGATCACATCTTCTTGTCCAATGTGTACAGTCTCCTAAAGCGTTCATCTGCCCCTACGTCCAAGGTCTTGGCCTGTGCTGGTGTCCTCTGCCTGAAACAATCCTCTGCTGGTTCTCGGCAGAGCTCACTGCTTCTCACCCTCCAATTGTCAGCTCATGTCAGCAGCTTCCCTGACCATCCCCACGCTGCCGACCACCAGACTGTGCCCGCCATTGGTCTCCACCCCTGACCTCTGGCCCTTCCTGTACAGCACGCTTCTCCCTTTGTAATTACGTATTTAGATGCCTGCCTGTTTATCGTCTGTCTCACCACAGGGCCATAAGCTCTAGGACCAGCAGAGACTGTAAACCGAACATGCCCGTTACGGTCTCCCCGTGCCTGAGACATAGTAGGTGTTCTATAGATATTTGCTGGATAAAGACAGGAAGCATATGTGAATGAATGAATGAATGAATGAATGAACTTAATTTTCATACATCCACATGCCAGTGAAGCTAACAAGGAATTTTAGTGTCATTAGTGCAGACAGAATCATGGGAAGGGAAGGATTTTACTACCTAGACAGGAGAAATCTCACCACTCCTTGAAAAAGTACATGACAGGGGGCGGATGGGGAAAGCTTTCATTTGAGGACTGAACGTGAAGGAGCCAAGCGAGCTACAAAGAGAAAGGGGTACACATTCATTAAACTCCAGGAATATGGCCTAAACATGGAAAGGAGGACTTAAAAGTATGAAACTGGATGTTTAATGAAACACAGCAGAAGGGAGATTGGGTTGCTGCAGGGACAGAGGACAGGGGATCAGCTGGAGAAGAGCTAGAAGCCTTTTAAAGGCAGGTGGGCGGGCAGCGTGGGGGCAGCAGATTTAACAGGAGGCGTAACGGGGTGGTTCAGCACGAGGAGGAACGTACACACTAAGAACTAGTCCTTCCTCACAAGAGCCAAAGGTGGAAACAACCAAATGTCATGTACTGATGAACGGATGAACAGAAATGTGGCCCAGCCATACAATGGAATATTATTCGGCCACAAACAGGAAGGGAATTCTGACACACCACAACACAGACGAACCCTGAAGACGTGACCCAGAGGCATGCCTGATTCCACTTATATGAAGTATCGGGAATTGGCAAAATCTACAGAGACAGAAGGCAGACTTGCAGTTGCCAGGGGCAAGGGAGATGAGGAATGAGTACTTAATGGGTATGGGGTTTCCTTTTTGCCATGATGAAAATGTCCTGGGGCTCTGTGCTGGCAAGGCTGCAGGGCATGGTGGAGTCACTGAGGGCCACTGAATCTCCACTTGAAATGGCTGACAGGGTAAATTTTAAGTGATGTATATTTAAATTAAAATAACAACTAAAAAAACAAAGAGTTGGCCCTCGGCCCGTCAGTATTTATTTTGACAAGACTTACCCTCCAAAATTACTCCCTTCTAGATAATTTCAGGATGACAACCCCTCATACTCCACTGGGTTTACTGGGAGATTAGATAAGACAGAGCACACAAAATAGGCCTTCAAAAGAGAAAGGACTTTATTATCATTCATGCTTGTACATGTCCTCTGACTCCCATTACCGGTATTCATTCATTCATTCACTCACTCAGGCATTCATTCATTCCTGAGCTCACAGAGCTCCAGGGGCTAGGCGCTGGTGTGGGTGCTGGAGAGACAAGGAGGAAGGAACAAACAAAACAAAGTTCCTGCCTTGCCCCGCACATTTTTAGAAACACAAGTAAATGTATGGTTGGTCAGGTAGAAATCAAAAAGCAGGAGAGGTGGAAGGAAGTGCTGGAGCAGGGATATGCGCTTAGATCGGATGGTGGGCAGAGAGGCCTCTATACTAAAGTGACCTCTGCCCAGAGGCCCGCAGGAAATGAGGCAGCAAGCCACATGGACGCCTAGTGTGACAGGGGCACAGGCCGATGGATGCATGGGTGCAAATCCTGAGGCACTGGGGGTCCCAAAGGACTGGAGAATTAGAAAGACCCCATAGGTGGTCACTGAAGTCAGAAGCATGAAGGACAGTGAGCCAAAACTTAAAAATCCTGAAGGAATGAGGCAGGGTAGGACACAGCTGGGGGAAAAGTGTCTGCTGGAGATAAAAAAGTTGCAGGCTGTACCCCTGGGTCTCTAAGGTGGGACTGGAAGGTGGGGGGCACCACCTGATGCTTACTATTATATCAAAATGTTTTAGAAAAAAGAAAGAGACCATAAAAAGTACAGTGGTAGTATGAGAGCTGAGGGGGCCTGTGGTATCAGCATTAGGAAGCAGTAAAGCTCTGAGAATTATTTAAACTCTGCCTTAGAAGAAGAGATCACAGAGTTCTTAGCACTGGGATTGTGGGTTTATTTACTTCTGCCTTTGTTTAATTTTCATGCTTTTTCAAATTACAGTACGTTCTCGGTCTTAAAAAAAGAAGGATGCCTTCATTTGGCAAATCAAATTCCATTTCAAAATACTTCAGAACTCAAGAGATGGCACTGAGAACAAAAACAGAAAGAAATGACATTAAATAAGTCCGTAATGAAACGTCTGTACCTATAGACAGCAAGGTCCAGGATGATCTGGTTACGTTTTTCATCATCTTTCAAGGAGAAGTCAAGTCTAAGGAATAATCCATTTGGGGGAAAAAAAAAAAAGACGATGTCTTTAGCAATACTGTATAGATAACCCAACCCATTATCACAAGTAAACTTGGTAATAATTATATAATAATCTCCAACGACAAACTTATTTTGGTAGGTGGACAATAAAATGTCTACATTTAAAAAAAATTCAACAGAAATCTACAATATATTCATCAATTATTTGTTTACATTGTTAACATGTGAGAATCCTAAGGTAAATAACATACAGAAAATTAGCATTGGTGCAGATACAGAGACATCTGGTGGTTAAAGTTTCCTTTTCTATTTCATTCAAGTTTGCTAGAAGCAAACTTAAAACACTGGACTGATTTATGGGGAAGTAAACGTTATGTTTGCCTCCCTGTATCCAGGATTCTATCCCTTCGGTTTTTCTGTTTTTGTTTTTTTAGATTTTATTTATTTTAAAGGTAGAGAAAGAGAGAGAAAGCGAGAGCATGAGCGAGTGAGCACAAGCAGGGAGAGGAGCAGAGGGAGAGGGAAAGCAGACTCCGTGCTGAGTACAGAGCCCAATGCGCAGCTCCATCCCACGACCCTGAGGTCATGACCTGAGCGGAAATCAAAAGTCAGACGCTTAACTGAGTCACCCAGGCGCCCCGTCCCTTCTGTTTTAAATAGTCTTGTCTTCCTTCTTTCTCCTTGCAATCTTTCTTTCTCTCCTTTCGTTGTTGACCTTTGCATCGCCCCGGAAAATGCTGAGACACTGCCCATGATCTATCACCTCCATACAGATGATGAAACAAAGGTTCAGAAAGGTTGACCCAGCTGGGAAAGAGGCCATATGAGCCCGGAGAGGCACGATTTCAAAGTCCCACATCTGGGGCGCCTGGGTGGCTCAGTCGGTGAAGCGTCTGCCCTTGGCTCAGGTCACGACCCCAGGCTCCTGGGATCAAGCCCCACATGAAGCCCACATTGGGCTCCTTGCTCAGCGGGGAGTCTGCTTCTCATTCTCCCTCCCCTTCTGCCTGCTGCCCCGCCCGCTTGGGCTCTACCACATAAATAAATAAAATCTTTAAAAAAAACAAAGCAAAAACAAAGTCCTACATCCTTCAACTTCCTAGGTGTAACTTCCGTAGTGGCAACATACCATTCAGAATTATTTGGTTGATTTATTTTGAGCACATCACTTGTCATATTATTCTGTAAAATATATAATCCGATAATATTAAAGAGTGTAAGCTAAATTGTTTGGAACGATTTGGCCGTCAGCAGAATGTCTGTGTGGCCGTCCCTCTCTGTGCTTTCAACAACCCAGCCATGCGGGACTCCTTCGGTTGCTCAAATGACCCATGCATTCATGATCTCATGTCAGGAGCTTTCTTATGGGCGGGCCCCCTCTGCCTTGATTGCTTATTCCCCAACTGTCCAGCCAGCCAACTTGAACTCTCCCTTCATTTGTCACTTGAAAGGTAATTTCGGAGAGGTTTTCTATGGCAGAAATTGCTATTCATTCCCCACAGTCCACTTCCCCTTTATCTATAGTAATAGGACCCCTGATTTTAACAAGGAACATGGCCGTGCAGAATAAAGACAACACTTTCCAGCCTCCCCTGCAGCTGGATATGGTCGTGTGATTTAGCTCTGTGAAGGAGAGCACCTTATGGTGCTCTCCAGGAATTTCCCTAAAGAGAGAGAGTGTGTGCCCTTTCTTCCCTCTCTTCTTCTTCACCCAACTGAACAGAAGAGATTATGGGAGGCCAAGAAATCAGCCACAGAGACTACTTAGCAAACTGTTGTAACTGTCTAGGCAAGAGGCAGATGACGTATTCTAAGATGGGGGGCGTGGAGTAAGTGAGAAGCGGTTGGATTCAGGTGATACTGAAGGAAGAGATCCCAGAGTCACTGATAATATGACAGAGAGAAGAATCAAGGATGGATCCAAGATTTTTGGTCTTGCTAAATGGCGGATGCTCGCTACTGAGTTGGAGAACGTTGGGGGACAAGCGTGTTATGAGGGAAAGCGGTAGTGGGCATGGGAATTAGGACTTCTGTTTCTGTCATGGTAAGCTTACAATACCTAATTCATATTCACACGGTGAGGACAAATAGCTAATTCAACATCCAAGTCTTGAGTTCAGGCAAGAGGTTGGTCTGGTTACAATGTAAAGATAAGTGTTTAAAACCATGGGGTTTGGTGAGAGCCCCACAGAGTCAAGGTGAAAGGACAAGGCAGCTGAGGAGCCGGCCCGGGAGTGCTGAGGTACATCACAAAGAGACTCAGGCAAAGCCTGTGGAGATGAACAAGTAGGAAGGTCAGAGAGTCAGAGGCAGAGGGAAGAAACTGCTATAAGATGGAAGGTAATGATGGGGGCACCTGGGTGGCTCAGTCCATTTAAGCATCGACTCTTGATTTTGGCTTAAGTCATGAGCTCAGGGTCCTGGGATGGAGCCCTGTGTTGGACTCTGTGCTCAGTGGGGAGTCTGCTTGAGGATTCTCTCTCTCTCCCTCTTCCTCTGCCCCTCTCCCCTCTAAAATAAACAAATAAATCTTAAAAAAAAAAAAAAAAAAGAAGGAAGGTAATGATCAATTTGGTCAAATTTGCTGGGTCAAGTACATAGGGCCTGAGATTTGAAATGATGTGACCGAACAGAGAGGCGATGTGAACAGCGAAGAGAGATGATAGAAACATAGAACACAGAAAGGATACGAACATACAGAAATGATTTGACTACAAAAGTTTTAGGTGACAGAATATGCAGACATGGTTTCAAGAAGGAAAGTGAAGTGAGGAGCTGGTGACCGAGTCCAGCATGTCCACGGGGAACTTTGGCTACTTAGAGCGGGCAGAGAAATAGGACTGTAGCTGCCAGGGAAACTAGAGAAAGGGGGCTTACTTGTTGTTTTTTTTTTAGATGGATGATATCACAGTGTCTATAAACTGATGAGATGGATCTAGTAGGAGGGAGAGAAATGATGCAGAAGAGAAGGGTCATTGCAGAAGCAAGTCCTTGACAGGAAGAGGGGTGGGGATCAGTATGCCCACAGAGAGAGCTACTCAGGAGGGGAAGGTCACCCACTGCAGCAGGAGAATAGAGAACATGTACTACAGGTCCAGGGACACCGATAAATTGGATGAGAAAACTTCTAATTTCTCCTGTTTTCTCTATGGAGTGTGAAATAAGGTCCCCAGTTGGAACCATCGAACAGAAGTAATAAGGGAGCAAAAGGGGTGAAAGCAGCCTGTGGGAGACTGGAGGAGTGAATTACCCAACAAAATGCAGTATGATTTGCGGAAGTCCACTTGAGATACAGGGTAATAAATTTCCAGTAGACCAGCAAGTAGATGCGGGTGTTTTCCTCCAGGCATGCGTGAGGGCAAGTCTAGAAATGCGTGTTTGATTGAAATAGGGTTGAGAGCAGGATGTGAGAATGAACATAAGGGAAGGAAAGAAGGACAAAAGATTTGAAGATCCATGTCAAGGGCGGATCTCTGTGATGAACCATAAAACCACAGCAGAGTGACAGAAGGGGAGAATATGAGGGCCAGGGGGCAGCCAGAAAACCAGGAGATGAACTGATTCTTGGTCCTCATGGGCCAGGTGATTGTGGGAGCTCAGGGAGCTCCCCGGGAGTACAGGGGATGGTGTTCAGCGGGACACTCCAGGGAAGATTCTGGATGTGGAAGAGATACAGAAGATGGCAAATCTGAGAATAAAAGTGGATTGTGTGGCCGGCCTGAGGGGGAGATGATGGTGGGGAGTGAGGCGGTGGAGGGCCAGAAAGGCCAAGGCTGGGGTGGATGGTCGACATGGAGGATGAAGTCCCACAACTGATGATGGGAGGAGAGGCAGAGACAAAGACGCTGGTCGGCATGCAACAGTCTTCTGCAGTGCGTGGGGCAGAGGGCGAGCGTGAGGGTTGAGCAGGGGTGAGTCCATGACTGCAGAAGGACAAGGGTGGTGTATCTAGAGGGCCTGTGCTCCAAGGGGGCTGGGAACGATTAGGGAAACGGAAGAGAAATGGTCTGAAAGTAGCTATAAGGTACAGTTTTCCTTGGGTAGACACTGCAAGGGACAATAAGGAGGGCAGCTGTAGAGGCAGAATTCTTAGTCTCCATTCATGAAAGAGGATAAGAGGGACCCTGAGAGAAAAGGCTGAGAACAGAGGCTTTGCTGGCGAGGCACAAGCTCCAGAGGGCACGGTGGCAGGGAAGAAGGGGTCAGGGAGGAGGAAGGGAATGAGGTGGATTAGGAGGTGTACAGAGCCACATGGGAATGACTTTCTGGGTGGTGACAGATGACCCTGGAGGGTGAGGAAGGGTGACCACAGCAGGATCAAAGTAGGTGGTAGGGGCAAGTGGTGGGTATTCAGTTCCTCACGGAATTCCCCTAGAGTCAGCAGTAGGGGCCCATAATGTGGTCAGTGTGGTGTGAGGAGAGGTGGTCTCCCCAGGGGCCCAGAGAGCCCTGAGGGTCTCCCTCAGGCCCTGCCATAGGCTGAAGAGAGACCATCTTCCCCCCAAATTTCCGAGCTCAACGAACGCAGACACCTGTCACATTCACTGCTGTATCCTCATGCCTGGCATCGGGTCTTAGGCTACCTTAATTTCTGCAGGATAAAGAAGGGATGTGCTGTGTGGCAGATATAAACTTGATCATGGAAGTCACTAGAACTGGGTTCGCCTGACCAAGTCAGACACACCATCCATTAGCCTGGGCAAGTCACTCCACCTCTCTCAAGCTCAGGTTTGGAACCCATGAGAAACAAATACTGCCCGTCACATGAGATTGCCAGGCAGATGGAATGAATGATGACTGGGAATGATCAAGACAGTCCCTTTCTCCTGGTCCTGGCATAGAAAAGGAAAGGGAAACAAACAGGCTTTGAGCAATGAAATGAAGCCAACAAGATTTAGTCCAAAGGCTTTTTGGTCTGTATTTTGGCTACAAAAGACCTTTTTTTTTTTTTTTTTTTTTGGTTTTCTTTCTAGTTTTAAATTTTAAGACAGCCCGACAGGGTAGATATGGTTATCCCTGAGGATTTCTGGTTTGAATATTTTCCCTCTCTCATTAATGTCACTGAAGTATCTACATCAGTTTCCTTCCTTGGGCCTCCAGGGCTTTGTAGACGTGTCCCAGAGTGTTAAGTAGACAGACACAAGGGAGAGGTACCAGTATTCTCAGCCAGCTTGTTCATGGCAGAGCTTTAAACATTAAGAAACATAACAATAATGCACTTGGAATTTTCAGGCAGAAAACTGTATATGGTCCAAAGTTTCAGGGGATATATAAATAACTAGGATTTCCAAATGTCAAGATCATGTTCTGAATGCCAAGACAATGAAATATAACATCATGTACGAGAAAACATCATAGATGCTCTGCTTTCAAATATGCACACAATGACATTCCTATTAGGCTCATCAGGCTTGTTAAGAGCAGTTAGATATATTCTCCACAGAGCAAACCTGCAAATGAAAACCATCGTAATGACCACCACCATACATTCTGCTTCTTCGAGTATCCCTTTGGCCTCACGTACTTGGGATCATTTACATTCAAGGCTTTCCCATCTTTAGTGATCAAAATCCTGGGTGGTTTCACTTTCTTCTTCTTTTCACTTAAGATTGGAGGTGGATGGGAACAAGCGGCAATGGAGAAAGAGAAAAATAAACAAAGGGAATGTAAAAGAAATATTTTTGTGAAACAGTTTAAGAAAAAATTGATCAGGTATCTGAATACATCAACCATTCACTGTTATGAAGCCCATTCTTTTAATGCTATGCTGGGAATTGACAATCAAGCCAGATTTCTTTATGATTGTATCTATAGCTGTAAAGCAAAAATGTGACCAAGACAATTTGGCAAATAATTCAAATGGGGGGGGGGGAGGAGATCCTTCCTTTTCATGAAATATCCATGAATGTTTAAGTTAGCCTATTTTATGCATGATTTGGCCAGATAACTGTCAATTCCCCGTTTGTGTATACAGCCTCTGCTTTAGTTAAAAATGATAATTTTTAAAACACCAAGTAGATTCTATTCTATAGAAATAAAAATACCAGTACATAAGAATCTACATAAAAGGATGTCTATCACAGTCTTAGTAGCGGCAAAACCCCGGAACTATGATGAATGTCCATCGGTGGAGGGGTCATTGGCTCCACTGTGGTATGCTCATGCTATGAAATAGTTTGCAGTTGTTAAAAAATGTGTTTGCTCTTCACCTATTGGTCTCAAAAGTGATAGAAAATGTCGATGATGTTATTTAGCGAGCACAAACACATAAAATATAAGTCCATTTTTGTTTTTTACAAAAGATCCCAAATCATCCATTTGCAGAGATGATTTAGACGATTGTAGAGGGTGGAGAAAGTTCTGGTGGGATTGACCCCAGCCTGTTAACACTCATTACCTGGAGGGGGTAGAGACAGGAGGAAAAGAAACGGTGCAGAGAGGAAAGGTTCATGGGATAGCATGAAAGAAAAATGTAGAATGTTAAGTTCCAGCTATTTAAACAGTAACGAAGATATATACAAACTTAAAAAGGCATATATGGATGAGCACTGGAAGACCAGATGGAGAAATGTGTTTAGAAGATGGAACTGTAGGCAACTCTTTGCCTTGGATTTCTATTCTTTTAATACGATTTTGTATCAGTTAACTTTATTTTGAAATGTAAATTTATGCACATTTTTCTGCATCTTAAACTGGGTCCCCAGGTCCAATAAGTTAATATGTCCCTGTACTGCATTATTCTCCATGACCCAGGACAATTAAGGGACATCCAGGAGAGGCAAACATCTCAGGGACGCATGGGACTGGGTACACTAGAGCATACTGTATGGGGTGACTTGGACTTCTCCCCAATTCAGCTGTACTTTATTTTGGCTGTTAGGGAGAGAAAAAAAATGTTTCCTGGTTTCAGGCTCAATACAATGTACCACACAATATATTGTCCTATATATACATTTTATCTATGTAAACATAGATACATATGATGTGTATATATGCGTGTACATTGCATATATGTCAGAAAAACGATACATATTATATAAAAACATGTCGAATTTCCATTTCAGAAGTTTCTTAAGTCTGCAAAGTACTTTTACACATTGGCTCCTATGATTGTCTTAACAACGTAGCGGGGGAGGTAAGGCAGGGACAAGAATCTCTGTTTAGCAGACGAGGAAACAGATGCGAAGTTAGGTATTTGCCAGCATCCCATAGACAGTAAGTGGCAGAGTCGTCACGTTGAGCCCACATTTTCAGATGCTATTCCAATGCTCTCCCCAAAGCATGGGGTGGCTTCTCTGTGTACAAACTACCACATTTTACAAACAAGCATTTTGGATAAAATTCAATTTTGGTACCTCCCTGTCATCTAGCTGATGAATAAAATGGCATGAAAGCAGCAGCGATTGCTAATAGTCTTTTTTATTTTTATTTCTATTTTAATTATGTTATGTTAGCTCAGTGATGGGTATTAAGGAGGGCATGTGTTGCATGGAGCACTGGGTGTTATACACAAACAATGAGTCATGGATCACTACATCAAAAACTAATGATGTACTGTATGGTGGCTAATAGTCTTTTTTAATCTCTTAGGTTCTTGCTTTCAGTCGATAATCACAGGGAAAGACACTGTGCTTCACTCTCGTGACTTCCATGCAGACAGCGGTATATCAGAGCTAAATGATCCCATTCCCAAGCACAGGAATTAGAAGTATTTCCATAAGTGGTACATTTTACATGCTAGACCTGAGCAATGACATGAAATGACACAGAACTTAGCTTTTAAAAAGCCTCTCTGAAAATAACAGTTTAAGCATTCCAGCTTCTAACAAATCATCAAATTACATCTAAACAATTCAGAAGTGAAAGCATACTAGGGAATGTCCAAGAGAGTTGTATTAGGAAAATATAATGCCTAGTGAAACTAATTTCTAATTTTGCAAATTACGAGACACAAAGGAATTTACTCATCCCTTTTCTTGGTGGCATGAAAATCAGTATCTCTAACCCAGGACATACTTGCATTTGATTCGCTGAAAGTTGTTGAAAAATTAAAGACATCCAAACAACACTACCTAAAATGCCATCATTCGTGACATCCTAAAGAATGGAGTCTGATATTAACAAACATTAGTAGATACAATGCAACAGGAAGCTGAACCTAGAAGAAAGCAAAGTCAATGCGTGATGGCTAGCAAAGACTGAATGCACATAAGGAGCCAAATCATGTGCAATCATGAATATATAATCCCTAGGAGAGCGTTGTATCTCTCTCAATGATTGGAAAAAATGAAATACCTTAATTTTTCTTGGTCTTTCCGTTGTTTTTCCATATGCCTAAGTGTTTCCAATCGAGATTCAGGAGTAAACAAAGAGGGCTTGTTCCAGAATTCCAGGTCATCTTCGCTGTCCTTGAACTTCTTTTGGTTGCATTCCCCTTCTTGTCCTTCTGGTGCCTGGATGTGGTCTTTGCTCTCTACAGAAAATGGGCTTGGAAAGAATGAATAGATCCAAAGCATGTAAGACCAATGCTGGGTGTCACTGAGTTTCATGCTCAATGCTGCCCCTTAAATCTCTTACACATTTTTCTTAGGTTATCTTCTTACCTTTGAATGACAAGACATCTCTGAAATCAGAGAGCCTATGTAAGCCAAGGTGGATGAAAGTACTGCCCCAACTGGGGTAGGCCCTCATCATCTAACACAGGGCACACTGCAGTGCAGACGGAAGGGCCCCCAGGCCTGGCTGATGAGAGTCACCTGGGGAGCCTTATGAAGAGCACAGATGCCTGAGCTCTCACCAGAAAGTCTACGCAGTAGATGTGGGCTTGGGCCCAGGGATCTGTGTTTTATGATATTTTGCAAGAGGTTCTGATGGTCAAACTCAGGAACCACTGGGCCTTCCCAATCAGCCCACCTCCATTCTGGCACTCCTCAGTTCCATCCTCCACACTGCTCCCAGGGGAATCTTTCCAACAGGCAACTTAGATCAGATTATGTCCAGGTTCTTTAATGATCCTCTAGCTCCAGAATTCTCTAGTGAGCTATATGAGATCTTCCATGGTATGGTCTTTTATGGATAACTTCTGATGTCATAGCTTTAGATGGTAACAGTGCTGTGTTCTCTTTTTTATTCATGTTTTGTGGATTGTCAGAGAGTTAAATGATGTCTCTATATGACATCAAATGGGCATAAGGGTTATCTGACATTCATTCAGTGGATTCAAGAAATATTTATTGAGCATCTTCTGTGTGCCAGGCACAGACAATGACACTATTTTCAGGAGATGCTATTCTAGCAGAGGAAAAATGACAGCATTCAAACAGTAAACACTGGGAGCTTCTCTCCCCACAGCTCTCCCTGCAACATACACTCTCTTTCAAAATGACGTTACATGAAAAAAATCCACGTGAAGCCTCCAGCACCAAGTATGGCAAATGGTAGGTACTCATTAAATGGTACATTTTATTGATGGTACAGAAATGAGATGACACCAAAGGCTCATTTAGTTGACCTTCAAATAAGATGCTTTTTGAAGGGATGGACCAAAAACACTAGAATGTGAAATTTAAACAGTATAAACAGAACACAGAGTAAGATTCTGCTTACACTTTGTTACATATTGCAAAATGTAACTAGATAGTTTAATAAGCAAAATCATGCAAATTGCTGAAAACGAATGTTTTGCCATATAGCTACAGGTCTTTATGGTGTTGAAAAGGCAATCTATTAAGGGGATCTATACTATTCTCCAACATTCTAGGTAATCATCACTGAAATAATTGGTTCCATTTTCAGTTAAAAGAATTTGTTTTTGCTGGAAAGTGACTAGTTGGTTCACTTTTATCTTTTGCAATGTAAAAAAAGTAATAATAAACATAAAAATAATTGCACTTCAGAAAAACTATAGAAATATCAGCTAAATAACTTAAGTCTCCGAAAGCAAAATGCATGTAAATGCACACAGCTGGGTGATGAAGCAGACTGAGCTCATTAGGATATGAACAAACAATATGCTCTTCAGCCACTTCCTTCAAAGCTGTGCTCTCAGAACTCTCTTCCCGCTCGTGAGCACATCCCACAGCCCGACAGTCCCAAAAATAGTCCCATCTCAGCTAAAGGTATTAAAGGCCTCCAGTTCAAATAAAACTTCACTTACATCCAAACTGAAGCCCTACCCCTCCCTTTCCAAACCCTCCTCCCCTCTCCCAATTCATGACTGGGCTCTGCGTGGGGAGAGGGGATGGGCTACTCCAACCTCTCATTGCTCATCTACTCCTTCCCTCTGTTTCTCACCTCACTGGCTTTTTCAGGTCCCCCTGACTTCAGAAGTTTGGGCCTGGGACAATGGATGGGGACAAGGAAGCAAACACCTTCTGAGACAGATGCTCTTAGACCTTGGCTTCTGGCTCCCTCTCTAGGGCTAATGCCCAGTTACTGGCTTTCTCTTGTGAGCACATTTATTGGTTCTTAGAGATATTGCAATAGCCTTCCAAGTCCATTGTTCTCTGTCAGACTGATCAACATACTACCCAGCTGGTTGTGTGTGACAACTCCTCAGCTTCTGCCACTGACAATCCACCCCATGGTCTCTTATTGCCACCACTCTCTTGGGCAGTAGCCCTTCAAAGACAGCTCAAGTGCAGTTCCTTCTACCATACGTACTTGGCCCATGGGATATTCACAAACCCTTGCCATGACAGATGCTTGAAGTATAAGCCGATTCCATTAATGCCCACTTTCCTGACCCTTCTGCTCTAGGCTATTCCAGGACACATCTCATCTCTTCAATTCTCAAGACTGGAAGCAGGCTTCGGATCTAGTCAAGGGATGAGATGCTTGTCTCCCCTTCTTGCAGCCCTGGCATCTTTATGGTATTTCTTCTTGCAGTCTTGAAAGGGGAGTAGCGCCCTACTCCTCTCTAAGTCAATGATTCACTATCTCGATGACCTTCCTCCAGAATGTCTGGGTTTCTGTTCAAATAGGTGAAATGTAGTCAGAGGAGCAATGGCTGCAGGACCAGCCAGTCAGTCCTGGGGGAAGCAAGTAAGCACCTGCAAAAAACCCAACTGTATGCTTCTACTCAATGCAAGCAACAGATAATTTTAAACATTTGTAAATGTGTATAAGCCAAGAAGAAGAAATTATCCCCAACACAACTTATGTGCCTATTATAACTTTGATGCAAAACATTGGGGAAAGTACAATGAAAAAAGAATATTACAGCATAAACTCACTTACGAACACAGGTTTAAAAATTATAAATAAAATATTAGCAAAATGAATGCAGAAATCTATTAAAAATATGCCATGGACAAAGTGAATCTATTCTGGAAATTCAAGGATGGCTTAATATTGGAAAATCTATTCATGTGACTTAACACATTAATAGACACACATGGCTATCTCAATAGATGCAAAAAAAGCATTTCATAAGATCCAGTATCTGTGATGATAAAAGCTCTTCATCAACTTGGAATCAAAGGAAACCTGCTTAGCTCTACCTAAAACCCCACAGCAAACACCTTAGATTGGAAACATTCTTCACACAGTCAGGGCTATAGGCAGACCGTCACTCTTACTGCGGCTACCCCACTCTATACTGGAGGCCTTAGCAGGCACCATAAAGAAAATAAAAAAACAGAGGCATAAGGATTGGAACATTTTTTAAAGTTGCCGTTTATAAAAAAAAATGTGTTCTTCTATATAGAAAACACAGGATCATCTATAGACTAACACCACATCTTTTTAAAAAGGTCAGCAAGATTGCCTAATACTATATCAGAATACAGAAATCATTTGTCTCTTTATACAACAGCAAGAACCAATTATAAGAGTATTTTAAAAATCCCATTCTACAAGATACTTAGAAATAATCTAATAAAAGATGGTGTAAAACCTCTATGGAGAAAATTACAAAACCTTATTGAAGGACTCAGAAGAAGGTCTAAATAAATAGAGAAAGCTATTCCAAAGTTCAGCAGGGAAAAAATCAAAGTCACGAAGACGTCAACTTTCCCCTAATTAACATATAAATTAAATGCAATTTCAATCAAAATTACACGAGGGATTTTTAGGGAATTTGAATAGCAGATTCTAAACTTCTTACAGAAAAGTAAAGAGCTAAGAACAGCTGAGATCAGTTTGAAAAATGGGAATACCTCCTACCAAATATCAAGATTTACCATAAATCTCCAGATATTAAAACCATGTGAAGGTGCATCCGTGAAGCAGTCTAGGGAGCCCGGAAATGGACCCATGAGTACACAAGGAGAGAGTACATGGTAAGGGTGGTGTCACAGATCAGAATAATAGCATCTTACTAATGGTGCGGACAATTGGCTACCCATACAGGAAATGACTGGTAACCCACCCCACACTGTAGTCAAAGGTTAATTCCCTATAGACAGATACGACACTGGAATAATGAAAAATGTCATAAATGCGCCCCCCAAAAAACACAAAAATAAACTTAACTACATTACTATATTTTTGAATTCTATAAAGCTAAAGCACTTATAACAATTAAAGATAAGTCAAAGGCTGGAAGAAGATATTTGCAAGGTACATAACTGCTAAAGAATTTGCACCTAGAATACAAAAGAACTATAAATCAATAAGGAAAAAAAACCTTATAACTTACTTAAAAAAGGCAGAGGACCTGAAGAGAAGAAATATGAATAGCCAATAAAAATAGAAGCAGACATCTAAGTTACGGATACTCACTAGTAATTCTAGGAATGCAAATTAAATAAAATATTAGGTGGTATTTAACAACCAACATGATTGGCCCATGTTTTAAAATATCATACTATCTAGTGTTGGCAAGGATTAGGAACTCTTCTATACTGTTGATATAGGAGTATAAATTAATGCTGTTCAAAAAATTGGGCAATGAATATAAAGTGGAAAAAAACGTTCCTAATTAATGATGTGGCAATGTCTCTGCTGAACACTCTAGAGAAACTTTCATACCTGCATGAGGAGGCATGTGCAACATTGTCCAAAGAAAATGAAAGCAGGGAAACAATCTAAATGACCATCCAATGAGGGATGGCTGCGCCAGGGCTGATCTCCAGCTGGCAACCACCAGGAGGGCCATGCAGGCTGTGAGAGCTGGTGCACATCCTGATCCGTCAGGGCCAATGAGTCACCAGCTGTTAGATATTTTGAACATCATCTCTGGGATAAATTGTGATTTAGTCACCCAATGGAATGTTATTCCCCAGTTAGAATGAATGAACTAGCTCTACCTGTCTTTATATGTAAAAATCTCAAAAACATAACGTTGAATGGAAAGCAAAGTTGTAGAAAGACATCGTTTGTGAGAAAAAAAAGATACAGCCACTCTTGTTCTAGGAGGCATAATTTCATCATAAATATATTTCAAATGTATATATGGATGGGATCACATATACCAAATATGCACTTAACTTTTAGGATGGCGGACCCACTGAAGATGAAAGGAGAATGGGACAGACTCTCAGGGATATTTTATTTCTTATTTTTAAAAAGATCCAAAGCAAAGATGCAAATTATTGATACTTATTAAATCCAGGTAGAACTATAGTGTCTACTGATTTTTAAAACATTTGTGTATGTCTCAAATATTTTATAATTATTATTTTCTAAGATTAAGAGATTCTCTTTTCAAAATATTTAAAGCTTTCACTGTATGGAATCAAATCAACTGACTATAGCTGCAATTCACTTAAACAAGCTTGAAAAATTCATGCTTGTATAAAAGACCAATTTAGAGGCTTATTAATCACATTAAAATGTATTCATTATATAATTCACAAAACAGAATATTTTATGATGTAATCAAAATTATTTGGCTTATAATAATGTGATTTACATTTAACTTTTCTAAAATATCTCCACTATTTTAAATCAAAGTACACATGTCAATTCATCTTTCCTGTGCATCTTATAGAGATTTGTCTGAGCATAATTTTAGATGCAAATTAAATTTGCTAGCTTGGAAAGGCATTTTTTTCCTAAGGGAGGAAAGCCTCAGAGAATTGACCCAAACAATGAGACATTCCTACTCTTTCCTCCAAAATTCACATCACAATTTATTCTTCAAATTAACCATCTGAAATATGATACCGCGAACACTTTGGGAAGTGAAAATAGTTTGCTGCTTTTAACCAAAATTGAGTAGAAAGTAAGCTCTCGTAATTTGGTTGTGCGTAGAGTAGCCCCTGATGTCTGCGTACCTCCATCCTTCAAAGCCTGGGTAACTTCTCCCCTTGGCTTCATTTCCCTCCTCTTCTCGCAGGTTCCTCTGAGCCTCTTCCTTGTCTTTGGCTCGTCTGAGGCAGTAAGCTCTCTCTTGCTCTCCGATTTGTTGTTCAATTACTGGAAAATTCTGCAATGCCTGAATCCTTTCTGATCGCTCTATTTCCTTACCGTCCAACCACTTGAATAAAAAAACAACCAACATGGTGCAATTATTCAAAAGTCACAATTTGAATCAGCCCCAAGTTGACTTTGATTGGAATATTGTGAATTTAGAAACAATATGCACCATAGTGATGCGGAATTAAAAGCAAAGTAATTAATGGGAAACATCAGGAACTTTGATCAAAATCATTTATTTAATACAATTAACAGAGTTACAAGGTATCTTTACTGGTAAAAAAAATAAGTAGGTCTTCTGTTGAAACTAATTATTAATGACAAGCTCTCAAAATATATTGATTTTATAACTGTTCACTATATGAAGAACGTCAAAGCCTCAAGTCAAACCACAGCTCCAAAGTGTAACAATGACACTTTGCAAATGCTCTTTACAAAAAAGGGCCTTGTACGTTACACAAAGTTGGGCTCTAGTACAAATGGGCACATGTTCTACCTTCAACAAAAAGATGCACACACTACACTGTTAACTGTTACAGTCATTGTTTATATCTGGTGTTTTTATGGTGATTTTCCAAGCTGAAATATTAAAATAATTATCTGGATGGGCCCAGTGTAATCACAAGCATCCTTATAAGGGAAAGAAGAAGGCGGACGTATCAGGGTCAGAGTCAGGGAGAGATTAGAAGATGCTACTGTTGGCTTTGTAGACAAAGGTAGCGGCTATAAGCTCAAAAAAGCAGGCGCTTTTAGAAGCTCAAAATGGGAAACGAATTCTCCCCTGAGGGCAGCAGAAGGAACACAGCCCTGCCAACACCTTAATTTTAGACTTCTCACTCCAGAACGGTAAGAGCACAAATTTGTGTTGTTTTAAGTCACTATGTCTGTGGCAATTCGTTACCAAAACAATAGGAAACAACCACAAAAGGAAAACCACACAAAGGTTGGTTAAAATATAAATTTAAAAAATTACCAAGATCAGTAAAATTATAAATCAAAATTATAATGTGGATATTTGGAAAAATAATTTACAGTACGTTTTGGATATAAGGACTCATACGGGCTGCAGGTTTCCGGCACCTGGCCAACAGCTGTCACAGCTTCCAGCCTGAATGCACAGCAACAACAGGGGATCCAGCACCCATCCAGGGAAGTGGCTCATAGTGGTGTGCTACAGGATCCATTTCTGTGATATGCTGGTCCTTATCAGTTCAATGTTTCAGTACGTCATTGTATAATGATGATCAGCTTGGGTTATGCTTGAGCTAATTTATCATTTTATTCTAAATATGTATTCCAGATTCAATTACCTGAGTCACTCATTCTCTTAATCAAAAAAAAAAAATTACATTAGAAGAAATGTGTTCCATAAATCCAGCAATCTCGACTGTGCAGAACACAGCAGTCTAAAAACAAATGTCCTCTGAGAATAAAAGAAAATGCCTATCACGAAGCCAATGCATCCCTGCATTTTTTTTGCAGAAGCATGGGGCTGCACGCAGGTCTGAAACTCTGGGAATTACATGAAAATTTAACATTACTAGTTGAACATAATTGGGTATATGATTTCTCTAGAAACCATCTGTTTTTCCCCAGGTTTCAAAAACATTGAAGGGAGATAGAGCATAACAGGTTAACACATAGAGCAAAGGCTCTCAAATGAGGTCCCTGGACCGGGAGCATCAGTGCTATCTGAGAGTTTATTAGAAATGGATAATCCTGGGTGCCAACATCAGACCTGTGAATCCAAAACTCTGGGGTGTCGCCCAGCAAACACCACCCAAGAATTCCAAAGCATAGCAAAGTCTGAGAACCACTAACACAGAGAATGAGTTAAGAGAAAGCAATGAAAAGAATTTATAAAAGCACAGTAGTTTAAAGACAACGTAACACAAAGGTATCTAGCTGTCATCATCTCAAAAACTCTTTTAAGTTTTGGTTTGCCATTAGTAATGATGAGTGCCCTCCAAGACTATGATTCGTGTTCATCAAGTAACAGTTCAGCTAAGCTCTGTTGTGTTCTAAATGAGAAAGGAGAAAGGTATTGAATTTATTTTTCAAAAGTTTATTAAAGCTATTAAAATAACTTTAAAGTTTCAGTAAATCGAAGGATTAGTTCTGATTTTCTGGAATATTCCACACATTCCCTGACAATGCTGTGAATAAACAGGCATTATTGCAGTTGCTTGTTTTCATTTCTCTGAGATTTCTGCATCATTAAAATAAGCATACCTTTAGTTGTTGAAGAGTCGCCACCACGAACTGCCTGTAACCATCAAAGTCAGCACATGGGTTACCCATGAGAAACAGCTCCTTCAGGTGGATATTGTGCTGAAGGGTTTTAATGCTGCTCAGCTCTCCAATGAAATTTACGGTCAGGTCGAGTTTTGTCAGCCCTTCACATCCTGTTGAAAGAAGTAAAAAGAAAATAAAGCAAAAAAAAAAAAAACACACTGGTAATGAAATGTGTGTAACAGCTCATAGCAGGAACAATAACTACAACATTTTTAAGTATGCTGATTAATTGCCTGGCTTACCAAGAAGTGGGTTTTCAGAAATACCAACTCAAAGGTTTAGCCCTGACTCGCTTCTCTATGAGCATTTCCCCTTCACCCCTCCAGCCGGGGAAAAATCACTTTCCCTGTCCATATCTGCAAGCCCTGGGCTGGGTAACGTACGGATTTGGTCACTATGCGCTGCTAAGGGTGGACACGACACCAAAACAAAGCTCCTCTAGAGAGGACACCTGCAATCTGTTCTGAGAATTTTGTCAGGTAGGTAGGACACATCTTGCCATGAAGGGTGATGGCGGGAGGGGTCCCCAAAAGGAAAGGCAGTTTGTAAAACCCAGGCATCGGAGTTAATATTTACAAAGTCACACCGAAGAGACAGAATGACTCCAAGACCGCCAAGGACTGCACTGGAGGTACCAGCAAATATTAAGAGTTGGGTCCTCAGAGGAGTAATAGAAAAAGGGTGAGTCACGGATGCAAAGATGGTTTATAGAGATGGCTGGATGCTACAGAAATTTCAATCAACTCCCTTCACTCACGTCCCATGGGAACTTGCTAGTTAGGAATGCAGACTTTAGAGTTAGGCAGATAGGAGTTCAAGTTCTGTCTTGGCCACATCCTTGCTATGTGATGTTGGATAAGTTATGAGCCTCCGCCTTTGCCTCTGTGGTATTATAAGAGCATTGGTACCCAATCAGGGGTTGCTGTGAGGACAATATAAGATGATTCATGTCAGGTACTTAGCACAGTACCTGCCACCTAGAGAGCTTCAGTAAACACTAGCTAGGATGAGAAATAACCCAATAAGCACTCTTAGGGTTATGTTGAACAATGTGCTTATGGGGGAAGAAGGATGCTTGCTCTCCTGTGAGCAGAGAGTTTGCAGTTCCTTGCTGTGGACTTAGGAAGAGTTGACCTGGTTCATACAGCAGCCTCTGTGGGCTAGGTTCAGTAGAAGGCTGTCCCCCCTGTGGCTGGTTCATGCTTGTTGGATCAACCTGGCAGATTTTGTGGCCATTAATACCTAGAGAGCCATTTCCGGCTGAAAACCCAGCCCTACCTTGTTGTACCCTCATTGCTTCAAACATCTACCTGCTCCAGCCCTCCCCTATGCTTCCTGATTATATCTTGCTTTTCTGTTGTTTCGTGGCTATATAACTTAGGGCAAGCTTTGGTTCCTGATATAGTAACCTCACCAGTATGATTTGATTCAGCTGGGTTCATAGCTCTGCAACCGTGTCACCTTTGGCAAGGTTCTTCTCATTGCTGAAGGCTATATGTTGGAACGAGCTTCATTAAATGCTAGTGTTCTCTCTTCCTTACCCTTTCTTGATGTTAGCATCTGACTCTGTCATGTCCAGAATTCCAAGTTTTCCTCCAATATAATCATATCCCAAACCAGAATCTTCCAAATAAGATAGTTCTACCTTAGTGCTTCCAAATGTAGGGTGTCACCCTAGAGTCATCCCTCCATGCGTTCATTCATTCATTCATTCATTCATCCAGGAGTTCACGGGTACCTGCTATGACCAAGTTACTGAGCCAGGTCTTCAGGATAAAGTGGTTAAAAAAAATCCATGGCTTTTCACCTCAAGCTTATGTCTAATAATGGAGAAAGGAGAGAAAAGATATGCATTCTAGGGAAAAAAAATTCTTGGGGCAAAGAAGTGAATCTGAAGAAGCAGGCAGAACCAGAAGTAGGCAATGCCCATTGTTATATTATAAGCCAGCCTAAATCGATATGTACTGGTTCTTTCTCCATCCCCAGTCATTGTTCAGCCCATTGGTTTTGGCTTCCATCCTCAATATTCTACTAGATTTGCTCCTCTAAAGGTGATGAGAGAGACCTTCATGTTGACAAATCTAACAGACCTTCTCAACCCATTATGTCACTAAACAGTCGGCACATTTGGCATGATTGACCATAAATTCTTTTTAAGTTCTTGTTTTAATTTCAGTTAACAGTGTTATATTAGTTCCAGGTGTATAATATAGTGATTCAACAATTCCATATATCACCTGTTGCTCATCATGTCAAGTGCACTTCTTAACTGACCATGAATCCTCTCCGAAATGTCTCAATTGTCTCGGAAACAATGATACTACTCTCTCCTTCTTCACTTTTATAATGCAGCTTATTACTCCTGGTCCCTTTTATAGACTTTTCCACTCCATCAATGGTAAGGAAGGAAGGACAAAAGGAAGAAAAATGTGACATTTGAAAGACTCCAACATGTTCAAAAATCTATATAATTTTTATTTTGCTGTAATTTTGTTGATGAAGGACCCTCCAAATATTCATTATATTTTCCAAAATGATAAATCTTAATTGTCCTACTTGGCCTACCCAAAAGAAAGTAAAGCACATCTGCCATCCTAATGAACAATTCTTGCTGAACTAGCCAGGCTTGAGAAAGCCTCTCTCTGGAGTTAGGCACTCCTACCTTCAACCGAGTCCCACTGTCCATCTGTTCTTCGAAGGTCCACCTCGATGGCTCATGGGGGTGAGAAGGTCATTAAAATTGACAACATTGATTTCCCAAGGGGGGAACCTCACACTATTAGAAACCCCACCTCTCCTTCCAGGTTAGAGTGAGTCAGGAATAGGGCTGGAAAACGAAGGCAATTTATTAGATCCCAGTGAATCCAAAACAGAGGGGGGAAAAGGTATGCTAGCTAGCTTTTGCCATCCAGCAAAACATAAAAATAAACAAGCAAAAGTCCATCTTATGCTTAAAATGATATTGACATTAACTCAAGTAGGTGGGCTGAGGGATGTATATCTGTCTTCCTCCTCTCACCTCAAACCTTTAAAATTAAACAGAGTACATATTTACCAGCCGATATGATGCATCCTCCCTCCCTACTGCCCATCCCCCAGACATATCCTCAAACTACTCTGCACCCAGTGCCTCCCTCAGAGGTGGAAGGTGGCGCTCTCAAGAAGTGCCCAGGTAGAGGTCAGCAGAGGGCTGTGGACTACAGTTCCCAAAGCTCAAAAAGACAATAGTGGTGATGCTGCCCTCTTGTGGCAGATGAGCAAAACATACAGAAAAACAACTCTCCGAGTCCTTCCAAGATCCTTTCTTAACAAAAACAAGCCCTGGACATGGCAACTGAGAGCGAGAGTTTTAATTACTTCTCTGACATTACGGATTGACATTTTACTATCACAAAACATGCATGCAGAGTAACTTTTGTTATGCCACTTGTTAACAGGAGACTGCGCGACGGGGCTGTAGAGTGTGGCAGCTGGAGGAACGGGATGACTCCACCTCTAATGCAGAAAAATGCCCACGATGAGAAGAATCTTCCCAGTTCCAGCACTGAGGATGGCTTTGGCCCTTCGATTGTGATGGTATTTTGGGTTTTGAGGATGAAAATTCAGAACGTATGATGAATACTTATGTCTTTGTTGCTCTATAACCTTGAGAGTCACCAAAATACCCATTTCTACACTAGGAGGCAAACAGGCTAAAATCCATCGTACCCTAAGTAAAGTCCTCCTAATTTTAGCTATTGGCAGATGGGAGCGGCGTGGGGAGAGCAGCTCGCGCGCCTCTGCCCCGTGCCCCTGTACTCCGGAGTCAAGCCTGCCAGTCGCCATGCCCTGCTCACTCGCACAGAGACCCCAGTAGCCCTGCCAGCCCAGTGAGAGGCCGGATGTGGAAAGAGAACCTCACAAGCACAGAATGAGCCTGCGCCAGCCACCTAATCAGCCAAATCCGTCGTGATTATGAACAGACACCAAGTGTTACCAGGCATGTAAAAAAATAAAATAAAAGCGCAAAATAGAAGCCTGCAAAGTGAAACAGGAAACCTTCCAGAATGTAGAATAACAAGACAAAGAGGTTTAAGTAAAAGGAATACAGTGCAAGAGAAACGGAAGCTCAATCTAGTACTTTTAAAGAAGTTCTAGGGGAGATGAGAGGTGATGGGTATGTCTATTACCTTGACTGTGGCGATGGCTTTCACAGGGTATGCATATATCCAAACTCAACAAACTGTTTACATTAAATACGTGCAGGTTTTGTATATCAATTATATCTCAAGAAAGCTATTTTTTTAGCTTTCTTTAGAACACCATCAGAGAGCTGACAAGAAAATCCACAAAATGAAAAAAATGTATCTACAAATCATGTATCTGACCAGATTCTAGTATCCAAAATATATAAATAGGCTTTACAACTCAACAGTAAAATGACAAATAACCTAATTAGAAAATGGGCAAAGGTTCTAAATAAACATTTCTCCAAATAAGGTATACAGATGGCCAATAAGCACATAAAAAATGCCCAAGCTCATCAGTCATTAGGTAAACACAAATCAGAACCACGATGAGATACCACCTCACACCCATCAGGATGGCGCCTATAAAAACAAACACATAAATACAAATATAAAATAACAAGTGTTGGTGAGGATGTGGAGAAGTCGGAGCACTCAGAAACTGTTGGTGGGAATGTAAAATGGTACAACTACTTTGGAAAACAGTATGGCAGTTCCTTAAAACCTTAAACAGAGAGTTACTGCATGATCCAGCAATTCCATTCCCAGATGTATACTAAATTAATTGAAAACACATGTTTATGCAAAAACTTGTACATTAATGTTCACAGTAACTTTATTCATAACCAAAAAGTGGAAACAACCCAAACGCTCATCAGCTAACAAGCGGGCAAACGAAATGTTGTGCATCCACATAATGGAATGTTAGCCACAAAAGGGAAGGAAGTACCAATACGTGCCCCAGCGCAGATAAACCCTGAAAACATTATGCTACAGGCACAAAGGACCACATATTCTGCAATTCCATTTTCATTAAATGCTCAGAATGGGAAAATCTATGGACGCAAAGAGTAAATGAGGGGCCAAGGCAAGGAGTAAATGAGAAGTGGATGCCAACGGATACAGGGTTTTGTATGGGGTGATGGAATGTTCTGGAAGTGGATAGTGGTGAAGGGCAGGCACACAACCTTGTGAATATACTAAAAACCACTGACTTGTATATTTTAACATGGTGAGTTTTATGGTGTGAATTATATATCAATTACAAAATAAATGGTTCAAATATTTCAAGTAAGAGACATTTTGAGAAAAAAATACAATTTTCCACATTTACCTTATTTTATTTTTTACTGAGGTATAACTGACATACAGCATTATATTAGTTTCAGATATACAACATAGTGATTTGATGTCTGTATAGATTGTGAAATGATCACCATCAGAAGTCTAGTTAATATCCATCACCTTACAGAATTACAGAATTTTTTTCTTTATGATGAGAATTTTTAAGTTCCACTCTCTTAGCATTTTCAAATATGCAACAGAGCATTATTAGTTATAGTCACCATGCAGTGCCTTACATCCTCATGACTTATTTTATAGTTTTAAATTTTGTACCTTTTTTTCACTGTGCCTTTTTTTTTAATTTTACCTTTTGACTTCCTTCATCCATTTTGCCTGCACCCCCCAACCCCCACAACTGGCAACCACCAAATCTTCTATTCTATTTATCTCTGAGCTTGGTGTTTTGTTTTGCTTTTTATATTTCACATATAAGTGAGATCATATGGTATTTGTCTTTGTCTGACTTATTTCACTTAGCATAATGTCCTCAAGGTCCATCCATGTTGTCGTAAATGACAAGATTCCATTCTTTTTTATGGCTAAGTAATATTCCATTGTGTACCTGAGTACATGTGTGTGTCTATCACATTTTCTTTATCCCAAAAATACATTGGTTCCTTTTTTTGTGTGATAAATGTGAGATGTACTAGAGAAATTAAATGTAAAAAATACAATCATTAAAGCCAGAATATAGAATATATTTATATTCAGAAACTATAAAGAAAAAAATTGATAAAGTTGAGTATATTAAAATGTAAGACTTCTGAATAATACTAGTGTCATAATTGGAACAAAATAAAAGTAGTCGACTCAAGAGAAAATATCCATCCATACATAAAGGATTAACATCTGGAATGTATAAGAGCACATTTAAAAAAAAGAAAAAAGATAAATCAATAGAAAAATGACCAAAGAATATGAAGTAGTAATTCACATAATAAGAAATACAAATACTCAATAAAAATTGGAAGGGTTATATGGACTTTCAATAATCGTAAGTGAGATGCAAATTTAAAAAATTATTTGATAACAATGCCTTCCCATTTTTAAAAAAAGATTCCTTATAAAAAATATTAGTGAGCTTGTGTAAAAATGTGTACTCACATGGACTACCAGTACAAAAGTAAATTGATACAACCTTTTTGGTGAACAATTTGGCAATATTTTTCAGACGGTGCATATTTAAACCCGGGAATTCCATGTCTAAGTGTTTGTCCTATAAAAAAATGTACACATACACACGGTGCAATGTAAAAGAACCCTCATTGTGGCCATGCTTATTATGGCAAAATGCTGGAAACAACCCAAATGTCCATCTGCAGACAAACTGGGAGATAAATCAGTGTACCACCATTCTGGTAGAGAGTCCCCACATTTCCTGGATAGCAAAGAACAAGGTAATTTCATAGAAGAAATCAATTTTCAAAAGAATACGCATGTATGATCCCACTAATAGAAAGCAAATGAAACAAAACTACCTTCTATCCCTGGGAAGGAAGCTGTTTTAGGAGGGGATGATGTGGACTTCCATTTTCAAATTTATGTCCCTCGTTATTGTTTGAATTTTTATCACAATAATTAATAAACACAAGACTTAGGTAAAATGCTAACTTGAAAAGTGTGCCTATTGGTTAAGTGATACTGTTTAAATTTAGTTGTAAGTCTCAATTTTAATTCATAATAAAATATAAGAAGAAAATTCTTACCTTCCAAATTTTCAATTTTTTCGATGTTGTTTAAAGCTAAATTCAAATATTCAAGTCTCTTTAGTTTGCTAACATTTTCTGAAATATACAAAAATGTAATTAATTAACCTTCAAGATAAAAGCGATTTTTACATAATCTGCTGTGAAAATTATAATGGGAATCTAAGCATTAGTATGCTTATCAAAACCATGTTGCTTTTTCATGTCTATACCTGGACATTAGACATCCTTGGTTGCCAAATGCAGCCTCATTTCTTCCTCCGTCCTTCCTCATAGAACCCACGTCTGCTCTTGTCTCTAGCCAGCTCTAACTCCAGGGAGTTTGACTTAACCAAGCTGGGCCAGTGCGTAGCAATAACAGGTCCCTTGCTAAGGACAGCTCAGGAACCTAGGCTTCAGCCAACTAGCCCACGGCCATCTCCTAGCAGCTATGTGATGGAGGAGTGGACTTGCACATTAACTGTGCCCAGTCAGATGAGAGGCAAAGATCTGCATTCCATGCTGGGGGACTGCCTTTTTCTTTCTCCTGCTGGATGTGAAAAGGGAAGAAAGTGATATCCTGATTGCTACCCGAGTCATCCCACAGCCATGACGAAACTGGCTGTAGGATGGAGCCCACACTGGGACCGGTGGAGCAGAAAGAAGGAATCACCCAACCCTGGAGCCTGCGCTGTCTCTAGACTTAAAGTTGCATAAGCCACACTAAGTTGGGTTTTCCTTTACTTGAAATCAAGCTCACCCTGCTACACACAGGATTATCGATTTTAATAAATATGGAAGTTCAGAGAGGCAGAACAATAAGCATATATGAGTCAGAGAACTGCTGTAGGATGGGGACATTTAAAAATGCTAATATTAGCATAGCTAATATTGTCAAGGACTTATTATCTGCCATGTACTTTCCTAGGCATTTTCCATATATGATATCATTTCATCCTCGTAATAACCCTAAGAGGTAAAAATTACTGTTGGCTCCCTTTTATAAATAAGAACACCAATGTGCAGAGACTTAATCCACTTGTTCAAGATTAAATGGCGAAGCCAGGAAATTTGACTCCAGATCTTGGCACTAAATTGTTACACTGAAAGAACAGTCCTTTCTAAGAGGACATGAACATGGGGAACCCTGCCAGGGAATGTGCATGGAGGGGACTCCTCACTTAAATAATGCTCCTTCTGCCCATTTTCCATGGATATGAGGAAGATCAAACATGATGGCTTATGGTCATCATCACCCTTACGATCATTGCATTTCATTTAAAATTTAGAAAATACCATGTACTTGTTCATGTAGACCCAAGAATAACACCTCTGTGAGCCTCAGCTGACTCATTTTTTAAAATGAGGATTTTAGAATAAATTACTAACGTTTCTCTCAGCAATTAGATGATTTTAAGTAATACTGATGTTTCTAGAAGGTTCTCCAGGCAACATCTGAGCATTCAATAGTCAACAGATTTGTGGAGCTCTATGTGCCCAGGACTATGACCAACAGAGTGTGCAATCTGTATCCTGAACAAAAATACCTACATTTTTATGTTATTATCATTAAAATTGCCAGCCTACAATAAAAGACTTGTTCCTTCCCCACATTTGTTATATGTATAGCCCTCTAAATGTGAGAAGAGTCTTCTGGTAGGAAAAAAAAATTGTTTGGGATGGATTTCTTAAATTATCCCTCCAGCATAATGAGCCAAATTGGTCAGGGAAAAAACAAATGGTTCTACGGATAAAAATGTGCAGCGCCTCTTGGACAGCAGGAAGGGAGTCCGCAAAACCACGGTTCTAGCCCAAACCGTCCCGGAAGCAGTTCTCACCAGTTGCTACCACCGGACCCACAGACTTGTGGTGGACCAAAGCCATCCCCCAGCACAAGCGGTTCCGCTCTTACCTTTAGGCCTTGGGCTCACTGGGAAGCTGTTACAAATGCAGATTTGGGGAGCCCACCCCCACCGGTTCAGTCAGGAAGTCTGGGATGGGGCTAGAACCCCACTTTAACAAGACCCTGGAAGGTCCTCGACTCACACTTGGGTCAACGCTCAGCACAGTCTCGCCCCGAGCCCATCTGTATCTCCCAACGAGGACCAGAGCTTTAGGAGAGGCAACTGTTCTGCAAACTTCTACCTCAATGGCACCAGGGCAAGTGCGAATCCTAGAGAAATACTTTTGCTTGCTAAATAAGCGCCTACATTCCTATGGGTGGAGCAGCACTGAAAAATCCCATTATTAGGATTTAAAAGAGTGTTTAATTTAAGAATACTTTGGAAGCAAAAATTTAAGCTTTCTCACAGCTCTGAAAAGGCCTGAAATACTATGCTACTAATTAGTAATTGTGATGGACCCAGCTGTGGAGATTAAAATTTCGGGAACTCTTTTAGATCTGTACAATTAGGACGGCTCGTTAATGCCCCGCCCCGCACAAAAGCTGGTGGTTTTCTGTAACAGCCTTTTTAATTGAACAATGTGCCAGAGTTTCTAATTTCTGGTAAAGTGAAAGATGTTGAAAATAATTATCTGAAGAAATATAAAGAATTGTAATAAATCTTCAAAAAAGAAAAATAATGCAAAATCTAGGCTTTTTGCAACCCGAGGACCAATTTTCAAATATCCACCAAACCAGAGGCAACCACCTCAGCAGGGTTTCTCGCCCTCGGGGATACTAATGTTGTGGGCCCGGAGTCCTTTCTTGCGGGGCCGTCCCGTGCACTGCAGGATGGCTAGCGATGGCTCTGTGCCCTATACGTGGTAGTAGTGCTCCCCTGCCCTGCATGCACTTGTCACAACCAAAACTGTCTCCAGAGGTTGCCAAACACCCCTGTTGAGAACCACGGCACATCTCGAGGGCAAGTTCAAACAGAACCTAAAAGCCGACCTCTGGCTCTGGCACCACGGCCCACAGAGGTTGGCACTCCTTCTGCCTTGTGGACCCTAAGCATCCCTTTCCCCCCACCTCTGCCCCTACCTCCACGTGGCTAGCCTGGGTAAATGACAACGTCAACAGCAACCGTAGCAGCTAGCATCTGAGTGACTGTTTCACGCAGTCCCTGGCGTATACACGGCAAGACTAAGTGACCTGACCTAATTTCACACAATTTTCACTGGCTGAGGGAGGGACCAAGCCCATCAGGACCTGTGCCTCCTCTTGCCACTAAACTACAGGTTGCTCTTCTGAGTGTGGGGGGCGCTCCTGTTTCTGGGTGGCAGGACCCCCTCAGAGTGACTCCACAGGCCTCCCTTCTCTCTGCCACTTAACTCTTTCTTCCCCAGGGGATTGTGGGGCAGGCCCACCTAGCTGATGGATGAAGTGGGAGAAGGAACTGGGCATGGACAGTCCCCCCACCCCCCTGGCTGCTGGGGTCTCCCTGCCAGCAAAGAGTACGCACTCTCGTCCCCTACGCAAGGTCCACGTACTGCCCAGCCTGCATGAGACCAGGTGGACGGATGGAATTTGAGGGCAGTTTTAGGAAGCCCGCTTGGCCACAAGGCTAAGCCACCTTCTCCAAAAGGTTTTGTCAGTTATAATGCTGATGTTTTGATCTGTCAACTTCTCATTCCCATTACAAACTGGAGCAGTGAGCAGGGTGTAGTTGTGGAACCCCTCTGATAGCCAATACAGAGAATAATGCCTTGCACATCCACGTTCTCCATAACCAGGGCAGAATCAGCCACCCCAGGGAATCTGAGCGTTTGCTCAACTTGCACACAACCCTTTCAGTTCTATGGAGTGATGCAAAACTATGACGAACGCCTGGATTCTATTCTCCTTTCAAACAGACAAAACCAGGCTATAAATGAGCAGGTCAACAAGTATGCTCCCACCTTTAAGGGCCCCTTGCAATTCCTCGATGGCATCCGTGGGAGCCCCGGGAGAGGGTCCACGCACAGCTCCCAGGAGCCGGCCGTGTCTGTTTCCCCTGTATGACTCTTTTTCACCCATGTTGTCTTCCTCTAAGAATCACACTGCTCTCCCCAAAGTTCTCCCATTCAAAATGTCAAAGAAACCATGAGCACAAAATCCTGAAGACTTACCAATTTTTCCAATGAGGTTATTTTGAAGATAGAGGATTTTTAAATCCCGGCACCATTTGTCAATGTGTTCTAGCCTTTCTATTTCTTGCTGATGCAAGGAGAGTTCCTCCAGGGAAAAAATTACACAGTCATTGTGTTCAGCATTCCGTCTAATAAGATCTTCTGTGACTGAAAGAAAATTTGTTACATATTACATCTCCATCCCTGTGCTCATCATCAGGTTATTACATTACGAATGCATTGGTTTTTCTTCCCAGTTTGATGTCAGTCCTCCAGGCCCCAGCGATTTTCAAAAGGGAAGAGAACGGAGAGGTGCTGCCTCCTGCTGGTTGACACCGTGATGAGTCAGAGAGCTTTTTGTCTTTTTTTGCACAGGGTCTACCTACATTTTGCTGTCTGGATGGGGACAGAGTGGGAGGGTAATGACCGTGAGAATGTTGATACGGAATCCCATGGTGGTATGGGATTGAACTGGATGAGACTCACTAAATAGACCAAGACAGGGTGACTCAGACTGAGAGGCACGGTCTGGCTGCCAGAGGGTAAAACCAGGAAAGCACCTCCCACCATTTCCGTAAGGAAAGGTCCATTCATTCCACTGACATTTATCAGTTTTACTAAAGTTGAAGAGAAGTGAGAGGCGTACCCTAGATGTTGCCTTGTAATCTTACAAGGCAGCTACCCTGCGGTCTGTTTCTGGGAGGAAGAAAAGGAGTCGCTCACAGGAGGAGGGTGAGGAGAGTCCCTGGCCCGCTGACAGGAGTGCCCTGCAGCATGGGGGGCTGCTCTGTTACGGGGGCACCAAGGGGCTGGAGACAATGCCCTGGTCCAAGCCTGGAGCCAAGAGCAAGACAGGAATCCCCTTCATGAGACACACTCAAGGTAAAGACGTGATGACAATGGACAAATCGTTGTGTTTTCCAGTGCTATTAAAAACATCAATAATCCATTTTAATGTCCACATTTTAGGTGGACAGTGGAACGTTGCATGTCCAGCCTGAGAGATAATAAAGATTTATTTATTGCCGCTTACAAAGTGCCAGGCACTGTCCGAAATGCTTTGCGTGTGTTCACGTATGAGTATTTACCCTCGGCAGATGTCCTCATCTGCACAGAGAGTTTAAATAACTTGCCCAAGGTCTAGGTGGTAAGTGCCAGAGCCGGGTTGTGAGTGTAGGAGTCTGGCGTCGACCGTGGGCTGTTAGCCACCACGCTACGCCGCCCCAAACAGGAGCAAGGAAGAGCCTCGCAAGACATCTCAGGCCTCCTCAATGGTACAGGCTCCCCTAGCTGAGACAGAGTTCTGCACAGGCCCCTCGGCTGCCCTACTTCCATACCACATCCTGAAAGGGGATGTTGGCCTTTTTTTTTTTCTTTAAATTTTTTATTGTTATGTTAATCACCATACATTACATCATTAGTTTTTGACCTGGTGTTTCATGATTCATTGTTTGTGCATAACACCCAGTGCTCCACGCAGAAAGTGCCCTCTTTAATACCCATCACCAGGCTAACCCATCCCCCCACCCCCGTCCCCTCTAGAACCCTCAGTTTGTTTTTCAGAGTCCATCGTCTCTCATGGTTCGTCTCCCCCTCCGATTTCCCCCCCTTCATTTTTCCCCTCCTGCTATCTTTTTTTTTTTTTCTTAACATATATTGCATTATTTGTTTCAGAGGTACAGATCTGTGACTCAACAGTCTTGCACAATTCACAGCGCTCACCAGCGCACATACCCTCCCCAATGTCTATCACCCAGCCACCCCATCCCTCCCACCCCCCACCACTCCAGCGACCCTCAGTTTGTTTCCTGAGATTAAGAATTCCTCGTATCAGTGAGGTCATAGGATACATGTCTTTCTCTGATTGACTTATTTCACTCAGCATAACACCCTCCAGGAGTTGGCCTTTTTAAAAAAATGTGAAAACAGGTTCGAACTCGATCAGTTGTGTGCAGTTAGCTGAACCCCTGCTATTTCTGGTAGAAGGAGGTGGGGTTGCTTGCCATGACAGTTGTTTGGAAGAAAGACAAGGGAAATGTAAATGTCCAGAGATTAAAATACTGTACCTGGGGAATTTCCCTGCTGTTCTAAGCTTTGGCTCAACTGGCCAGGCAGAGCTGGCTGCAAGACAGGTCCTGGGGAGGGTCAGGCCAAAGAGGCAGCAGGGAAGGGGGCTACTAGGGCAGCCCCTGCCAGCCCCAGCTCACCGGGGTCCCTGCCGCTGACAGCTTTCTGCCGTCTCTGGAGGCCACAGCTAGTAGGCAAGCCGATGGAAGCAGAAAAGGACTTTCCAAAAACCAAGCCTGGTTTGGGCATTAAAACTACTCTCCACACATCCCACTACCGAAGTTGGTTCTAACAGCTAAAATCAACTGATAATGAATATATGGGTGCAGCCAAGTTGAGGACACGGCGAAGCTGCTGTGTAAAGTCAAATGTATCAGCTGTCTCTGTAAGCAGCTCCAAGAATTCTCTTTGTAAGGATGCAACAGGGATCGAGGTGTTGGGATGACACAACCAATGTCGTTTCAGCTACCCTAATGAAATGTGGGAATTATTCACTACCATGAATAAGACCCTCAGTGACCAGTGGGGTATGTGTAACTTGAACTATATCAATCCATGGAGCGGGGGGCTGGGTTTTGGAGGCCTTGCTGCCATCAGACCTACAGTCAAAGGGACCAGGAGGATGTGCCCATCCAGGGCCCATGCCCTTCCCTCCAGAGCCTGTCCCAGGCAGAACACTAGAATTCTCTGCCCAAGGGGCCCCAAGCCTGCCTCTAAGCCCTACCCTGGCCACTTCTCCAGGTTCATTCCCGAAGACACCCCTATCCCCTGGAGTGTCCAAGGAGCAGCTCTTTTCTGGAGATGCGAATAGATATGTAGGCTGGAGTATGCGCCACACACAGGGCCTGAGGGACAAGGATGGAGCCAGGGACAGGAAGAGAAGGGAGGGGTGGACCGGGGAGCCCGCTCTCGCCAGACGTCCTCCTCCTCCCCAGCGCTGGCACAGAACCCGAGGAGCTTGAGAAACATCTTAAATGTAGCCTTCTGGGTTGTTATACTCTTGTCGAGAGAGGAAAATGAATTTTATCTGGCAGTTCGATTATAACTTGACACATGAGCGTCCATTATATTCTTTCCGTGGGTCACCCTGGAAGGCTTAGTGGAACATTCATGTTAAAGATATAAACCCAAGCTGGATCCCACAGTAGCTGTCATCTATAAGTATGGTGCAGTCCAATGTGGTCAGGGGAATTCTAAAAGTGTCTTGTTAAAGCACCATGGTGTCTGGTCTGGGATGGCTACGTCAGCATCTGCACAACCCACTGGCGCCGGCCTGGGCCTTGGAAACGCTAAAGGGATCACGGGCCACTCCAGCTCCGCAGCCTTAGAGGATTTTCCGATTTGTCGAACCCTAAAGACCCGCGGGTTCCTCTCCAGATACCAAATATCCTTCCCATGTTCTCTTGCTACACCTTTCTTAAAATTAAGAAACTCTTTTCACAATGCTATTTTCTGTGTGAACTTGATCACTTCCATGCAGTTGTCAACTCCTCCCTTTCAGAGGCAGGTAGATATTAGGAAGGAATTACGTCGATCTGAATCTCCTAACCACGAGAATTAAGATGATAAAAATCACTATCAGTTGAAAGGGATGGGGGTAGAGGAAACTCCCTTTGCACAAATAACTCATTTGTGCACACACACACACACACACACACACACAGGGGGTCTAAGGTTGATTCAGCACCATAGGGAAGCCTGTCCAACAGCAACGATTTTACGCAATTGGGATAGATGAAAAAATGGAGAATCACAGAGGAAGGCAGTACTGCAAAAGTCTGGGGCACCCAGCGGCCCTTTCCTGAGCTCTTCTATGGAAAGCAAACTGGGGCATGGCCCCCCATTTTATAGCACTCAGGAAACTGCTGTTATACAATGCTGGTCCACCTGCAATGGCAACCATCAGCGAAGAAACCAGAGTCCCCAAGAAGAAACGTGAAAGAGTATGTACGTGTTTGGGGATAACAGTGTTCCAACGCTTTTCAACAGGAAAGCATTTTGTAGTTTTACACTCTATGTCATTTAGACCAAACCCTCGTTTACTCCCAGGAGCATTGTTCACCTTTAGAAAGTCCTACTCCAAATAATACAGCACTGCAATGACAAGAAATCATTCCAGGGATTTAAAGCTGCTTTGGAAGCGTTAGGATGTCTACCCTAACCCTGTCTCCAGAGAGACAGTACTACCACGCCTACCACCCAGTGGTAGAAGAACATGCCCAGGTACTCTATGAAACACAGTGCTTTCGCTTCCTTATTTTGGAAAAATTGAAACAGCAAAATCTGGGACCCAGTGGGCTCTGAGAAGTGTCTCACCCACAGAGGGCGCTAGCCAAGACCTGCATGAGTGGAGCAGTAGGCACTGAGAAGAACGCGGACAGTTAAAACACAGATTCAGACTTATCTCACTAATGGAAAGCTGCCGAGGAATCCAAAGTTTTAACGAAGACTCACCGGCCAGCCTACGCTTCTTTTCAATGCCGTGGGATGACTGGGTTTTCAATAACTTGAGAGAATGTCAATAAAATGACTCTTTCGGGGTAGGGGTGAGGCGAAGGGCAGAAGGAGAAGGTTTCTGGAATACTGGCAGTTGTCAGGCCGTGTTTGTTTCTACGAAGTTTTTCAGTGTATTGAGCAAAGTTCTAGAAACTCCCAAGGCCAATAACGAAGTGTTCATTCATTCAGGCTTTATACTATGTTTTGTAAATAGCCCTCTATATCTCACCGGATTAGAATAAAATCGATAGTATATGTTTAGGGCAGATTTCAGCAGAATTTGTAAACATCTTGAAACACCTAGCAGATACATCTATGAAACAGAAGTGTAACAGAGATGAAGGGGTGACAAATAGGAGAAAGTCACCTCTTGTAGCATTTACACTTTTAATTGTTTTCAATGGACACTTTTAAAAACAGAATTACTCATTTGCCCTGCCTTTTGTGACTGGCTTGGGGTCACGATAACAAGCACTGCTAGCCATACTAGACCCAAGCCAATGACTCACGTAGAGAGTGCTCTTAAAGAACATGAGTGAAGGGTTCTGGGGCAGTGACAGAACACAGAAAGAACAAGGAGTGGGGAGTGACCAGTGTTACTGAGTGACAGGATGGAGGTCAAAAGAGGCATCGTGGAGAAGAAGCCTGAGCTGAGTTTTGAAATGTGAGTAGGTATTTGCCCGATAAACAGAGGAGGAAGGGGTGCTCCGGCCTATGGTAGATGCCGTGTTGCCCAGTTCCCTCCTTCAAAACTGAATGATCAGTTCTTCTAGCTGCTGGGAGTTGTGCCAGCAGACTGCTCACAGATGCCCACCTTCTTCATAAGTCACTCGGCTGAAGAGACACCTCAACTGACATCGTGCCCCTTCCCAGGAAAGCCCATATCCAATGACTGGCTGTTAGGGGCCCTAATGGCCCAGCCCTCTCACCTCAGCTTGGGAAAATCAAAAGGTCCGTTCCCAGTTTAGAGGTCCTTCCAAGTTTCCAGGTTGGTTAGCTACGTCCTTTGTTAAAACCCATCACAGCCCAACATCCTTCCCTGTCCAGTCTTGCTGCCTTCCCTACCCACTCCACTAACACTCCCTAATGAACCTCCTGCATGCTAATCTCCATCGAAAAGTCTGCTTCCTGGGGAACCCAACCCGGAAGAGTGGATACCAAAAGTGGTACGTGAAGGCAGATGCTAACCAAGATGGGCTTCCAGAGTTGGAGTCTGCTGCCTGGGGTGCAATGGGGATACCCCCACTGGTGGGTGGTGGAGCACAGATAGTGTCTGGCACAAGGTGGCTATGGGATGTTTAACACTTGCACTTGCGTTGCAAAGAGAACAGTGTCAATCCATCTGGAATACCATAACACAAATACCATAAAGTAGGTGGGTTACAAACAAGAAACATTTATTTCTCACAGTTCTGGAGGCTGGAAGTCCAAGATCATGGCATGGGCAGATTTGGTGTCTGGGGAGAGCCTGCTTCCCCACTGATGGGAATCTCACATGGTAGAAGGAGCAAGCTAGGTCTCTGGGGCCTCTTTCAGAAGGGCAATAATCCCAATCATGAGGGCTCCCCCTTCATGACCTAATCACTTCCCAAAGGCCCATCTCCTAATACATCACTTTGAGGGTTAAGATTTCAACATATGAAGGGCACCTGGGTGGCTCAGTCAGTTAAGTACCGACTCTTGGTTTCAGCTCAGGTCATGATCTCAGGGTTGTGAGATGGAGCCCCATGTTGGGCTCTGTGCTGGGCGTGGTGCCTGCTTAAGATTCTCTCTCTCCCTCTTCCTCTGCCCCTCCTCCCCACCCTCTCTGAAGGAAGGAAGGAAGGAAGGAAGGAAGGAGGGAAGGAAGGAAAGAAAGAGAGAGAGAGAGAGAGAGAGAGAGAGAGAAAGAAAGAAAGAAAGAAAAAGAAAGAAAGAAAGAAAGAAAGAAAGAAAGAGAGAAAGAGAGAAAGACGAAAAGAAAAAAGAAAAGAGAAAGAGATTTTAGCATATGAATTTTGGGGAACACAAACATTCAACCTATAGCAAATAAGATACTAATGGAAGGGAATGCACTAGTAAGTGTGACATGACACATCAGGCAGTAGAGAAGTATGGGGGAAATCGTAACTTAAAAACTCAAAGACAGTTGCATTGGGTGGCTGCTGCTGGATAAGGAAAGCCTGGGTGTGATTAGTTGGACATTAAAAAAAGCCAGAGTACCACACTGGCAGCATCTAAAGAGGTTTGCTTCCTGAAATCAGAGGGTAGAGAGGACAGAGAACCAGCACCGGGACTTAATCACAAGAGGAGCAGGGACTTCAGGTTCCAGACATGATGGAGTCATAGGAACAAGATTGAACTTTCAGCCTAAAACAACTAAAATCCAGAATATATGAAAAAAAAAAAAACTGGACATTAGGAAATCCAAAGGGAAATAAGAAAGTATTTTGAACAGAACAAAAAATGCAAAGCCATATCAAAATGTGTGGGATATGGCTAAAACATAAGTTGGAGGAAATTTTAGAGCACTAAATACCTAAAGAAAGGAAAAAGGTCTCAAACATCAGCTTCTTCCTTAAGAAACTAGAAAAAGAATAAATTAAACCCAAAGTAAGCAGAAGAAGGTAAATAACAAAGATTATACCCAAACTCAATGAAATAGAAACAGAAACAATTGAGAAAAGTCGATAAAAATGCTTTAAAAAATAAAATTGGTAAACTTCTAGCCGAACCAATCAGTGAAAAAAGAAAAGACATAAATTGCCATTATTGGGAATGAAAGCATGACATCATATAGATTATATAGTATTAAAAGGCTAGTAAGAACTTCATGCTAATAAGTTCAGGAACTTAGATTAAATGGGAAGATTCCTTAAAAGTCACAAACTACCAATGCTCACGTGGGAAGACAGATAAACCAAACAACCCTGTATCTACTACAGTAATTGAATATGTAACTCAAACCTTCCCACAAAGAAACCACAGCACAGATGTCTTCACTGATAAATTCTACCAAACATTTAAGGAAAAATAATACCCACTGTACATAAACGTTTCTCTAAAATTTAAGAGAACTTAAGAATTTAAGAATACTTCCTGAGATAATTCTACAAGGCCAGCTTTAACCTGAGTCCCAAACTAGACAAATACAAGGCCAAGGCTAACCAGGGGAGATGTTGTTCTAGAGGTGGGCTAATTGATAGAAACTGGGATGACAGACTCTTGAAACAATGAAGGCCAAGTAGGGACATTTAACTTTAGAAGTTAGGTGGACAGATGCCATAATGAGGGACAAGGTTGGAGTGGTGGCCAGTGGTCCACATCCATGGAGGGCTATGAAGATGGAGAACAGAACATGACATTCCTAAGAACAATATAGACAAGCAGCCAACAAAGGTACCATGCAATCTGTGCAATCAAAATACAACAAGGATTGATGACCGGAAGGCTAAGGACAATTGGCTCAATAAAAATTCACAATCTCTTGCCTAGTTGCCAGACCTCAGTCAGTTTTTGGACCTGAAACTAGGGTTTTCAGATTTAGCAAATAAAAATAATGGGTGTCCTGTATTTTTATCCGACAACCCACTGACTAAAAGAGAGGCTGGGTCGCCAAGAGTACATGGCAATGATTGATCCAATCCTTTCCAAAAGGACTGCTGGCCATTTACTTGAATAACAATACACTGGGGAAGGGGGGGATACCAAATCACGTTGTCGCCTGCTGGACACAGGATTTGAGTTGTCATTAATCTGGAAACACAAAGCATTGCCAAGTATTCTTACCAGAGTGGGGACATGTTGGGGGCCAGGTAATAAATGGAATCATGCCATGTCCAGCTCACATTAACAAATGTTGACGGATATGTGGATTGTTTCCCTTTTTTAGCTACTATGAAAGCATGTGCTATAAATGTTCATACACAAAGTCCGTGTGGACAAAGCTTTTCATTTTTCTTTTGTAATATCTAAGGATTACATGAGTGGGAAACAAAGTTTTCCTTTAATTTTTACTGCTGTTGGTCTAATTTTTTTTGTCTATTGCTTTAGAGAGGGAATACCAGTAAGTGGTTTAGGAATGGGGCTTTTACTATTTACAAATCACCTGCCCCTTCCACCAACCCGTCAGCTCTTCCAGGGCAGAAACCCCATCCCCCAGCACAGTCTCTTGATTTAAAAATATTAATTATGACACTTTTACGGTAAGTGAGCAATTAGGCTGAACTGTACAAAATTGTCACAAATGAGAGTAAGATCGGAAATTGTGTTGGTAGGTAAATGGTTCAATCCAATATAAATGTTAATCCCATCATTTGCACCTTCTGTGGGTGTATTTGTAAACAAACACTTTGACAACACTTAGCCAGGTCTCTAAAACAATACTGTCATTGCCTTCCTTTTGGAGATGAGGTTTAGGCCCAGACGGGTGAAGCCACTGGCTCGAAGTCTCCAGGCTGGAAGGGGGAGGAGGCGGGCTCCAGAGCGGGCTCCCTCCCCCACCACGTACACTGCCATCCCCGAGTGCTAAGGCTGCAGCTCGGAGAGTGACTCGCCCAGGACCACAGGGCGAGCAGGGCTACACGCGGGCCCGAACCCGGCACGTCTGACGCCAAGCCCTGCGCCTTCCACCACCCCCTATCGTGAAGTCGCGTGCCTTTCTCGCCTACCCCATTTTATAGATGAGGAACCTGAGGCTCGCAGAAGCTAAGCTGCCCGCCGGGTTGGTCGGCAGAGAGGCTGGCACAGCCGGGCCTGCGGAGGGCGGAGGGCCCAAGTGGGCCGGGGTGCGCGGGCCGGGAAGGGGCGGTGGTGGTCTGTGTCCCCTGGGACCCGGGACGACGCCGGGAAGGGGCACAATCGAGGGTGGCAGGTGGGAGGGGACGCTTACTCCGGCCCATGGCACCTCTTCGGCTCGCGGGCGGGGGAAGCAAGACCCGGACCCTGAGGTCTTCCTTCGCGCTTCCCAGTCACGCCTCGGTGCGTCCGCACCGGACCCTGGGAACCATGGCAACGGGGACTCTACGGCGGCCGCGCGGGGCCAGGCTCCGCCGCGTTTCCAGCGCCCAGGAGGAACAGGAAGGAGAGACTCCGCGAGAGAGGGCTCGTAGCATAGATAGAGGCTCCCGCCGACACCGAGTCCTCTTCCCCGTCCCCACTCCACCTTCCGCAGACTGTTTCCCTTTCCCCAGATCAACTGGCCAGGCTAAACACCACAGGACTCTCGCTTCCTAGTGGATCTGCCTGCCAGGCATGCCTCTCATCCTGCCCTCCACTTTGCCTTGTCTGGGTAGTTAACGCCCTCCCGAGCCAGGGGGTCAGGGTGTGCCGCCACTCGCCTCGCTGGTCGGGTGACCTTAAACTTCCTTAGCCAGTTTCCCCATCTGTAAGATGAATAATAATAACTTCAAAAGGTCTTTGTGAATGTTTTTAAAGAGATGATTTGAGTGAACTAAAGACTTTTTTTTTTTTAAGATTTTATCTATTTGTCCGAGAGAGAGAGAGAGAGAGAGAGAGAGAGAGAGAGAGAGAGAGCACAAGCAGGTGGAGCATCAGTGTGCCTGATGTGGGACTCAATCCCAGCACCCTGGGATCATGACCTGAGCCAAAGGCAGAGGCTTAACCGCCTGAGCCACCCACGCATCTCAGGAAAGACATTTTTAAAAAACAGCCTCCATACAAAGGGTAGTTGCCTTGTTGGATTGCATGTCCTTAAAGTCGGAGCCCAACAGGGATTCCTGCTAACAAGTTTTCCAAAAACATTACCCTCCATCCACTTTCCCTACCCACCACTTTCTTAGCCGTAAAGAATAGAAAGTGCATCTCCTGGAATTCCCACTACTCCTCTCGCATTTCCCCAGACCCCTCCCCAAAAGTGCCTAATTGGTTTTACCCAATTCTGGACTAGGAAGAACATCACTAATTCATCCTCATTCATCCTTATATGTTCATATATGAGGGGTTTAATGGATGACACCTCCCAAAAGTTGTTTTGTCTGTTTGTTTATTGCCACATTCACCCATTTTCCCACAGCCACCTGCCTCTGGCAACCAGAACTAATCTATTCTCTGTATCTATGAGTTCGTTTGTTTTTTGTTTTTTGTTTTTTGGTTTTTAGATTCTGCATATGAGTGAGATCCTACAGTATTTGTCTTTCTCTGCCTGACTTATTTCACTTAGTATTAGACCCTCAAGTTCCATACACGTTGTAACAAATGGCAAGATTTCCTTCTTTTTGATGACTGAATAGTACTTCAATATACATATAATTTTTCAAGTGACTTAATAGTATTTCATTATATTTACGTATAATCACATTTTCTTTATCCCTTTATTTTTTGGTGGACACTTAGGTTGCTTCCATGCCTTGTGTATTGTAAATAATGCTGCAAGAACATGGGGGTGGAGATCTCTTTTTGAATTAGTGTTTTCATTTTCTTCAGATAAGTACTCAGGAGGGGAATTGCTAGATCATATGATAAGTTCTACTTTTAATTTTTTGAGGCTCTCCATACTGTTTTTCACAGTGGCTGCACCAATTTACACTCCCACCAACGGTGTAAGAGGGTTCCTTTTCTCCACATCCTCGCCAACCCTTGTTACTTCTTGTCTTTTTGAGAATCATTGTAACAGGTATGAAGTAATATCTCATTGGGGTTTTGATTTGCATCTTCCTGATGATTAGTTACATTGAGCACCTTTTCATATATTTGTTGGCCATTTGTATGTCTACTTTGGAAAAATATCTATGCAGATTTTCTGTCCATTTTTAAGTCACAAAATATTTTTTATTGAGTTGCATGAGTTCTTTACATATTTTGCAAATTAACCTTTTATCAGATACATAATTTGCAAATATTTTCTCCCATTCGGTAGATTGCGTGTTCATTTTGTTTGATGTAGTCCCACTTGTTTATTTTTGCTTCAGTTGCTTTTGCTTTTGGTGTCAAACTCTCCCTGCCGCAATGAAAATCATTACCAAGGAACTTACTCCTGATCTTTTCTTCTAGGAGTTTTATGGTTTTGTTTTTAATGTATTATTATTACAAAATTAATTCTCGCCTTCCATCCATTTGCAAGAAATAAAAAAAGAGAAAGTGCTATGTGCAAAATATTTTTAAAAAACATCCCCCATCCCAATCACAGTAAATAGTACAAAGTCCATGTTTTTATCTTCATATGTGCGTTATGTTTACATTATAAAAGAGGATTCAGGGGCGCCCGGCTGGCTCAGTTGGTTAAGTATCTGACTCTTGGTTTTGGCTCAGGTCATGATCTCAGAGTCATGAGATCTAACCTGCTTCCAGCCCCTGCTCAGCATGGAGTCTGCTTCCCCTCTCCCTCTGCCCCTCCTCCTGCTTGTGCACTCTTTCTCTCTCTCTAAAATAAGTAAATAAAACTTTAAAAGAAGATTCATAGAGTAATGTATTGAGGAAATGTATTCTTTCAGCAGACACCTGTTGAGCATTTACCATTGCAAATTATTAGTGTTTGTCAGGTGGATACAAGGGCATGAACTGTGACAGAGAGGCAGGAAAGCTGAACAGGGTGGCGTGAAGGAGGGGCTGGGAAGCCAGTCAGTTTGGCAATGGAAACAACTGCATGGATGTGATTAGATCAGGGATAATGGAGGCCATAAATGTCAGGCCAAAGGAACTGAACTAGAATGGTGGGATTTCAGGCACGGTGTCCCCACTGTGAAAGAACTATTTGGAATTCCAAGGAGCCTCCCAAAGGCACTCCAACTATAAATTTAGGTGACATCCTCTGCTCCTGCCCAAAAGCCTCATTCTCATCATTTCACTATTTTTTTTTTGGAAGCAACACAGTGTGGGGTGAAGAGTGTGAACTCTGGCATTGGAGACCTGGTTCAAATCCACAGGTGTGTCACTGTGTGGCATCAGACAGATGACTCCACCTTCCAGAGCTAACACCTCCCCATTTCCACGTGGAACTGACAGTGCAGGCAATCTATGGCTATGCCACTGAGAGATCTGTGTGCTGGTGTCTGATTACTTATGTAGGAGATGGCATGCCCTCAGCAGCAGCTAGTTTAGCAAATATGCCTATGCTTGAACTTGTGCATTTGACAGTGAGAGATTCATCAAGCCTAAAAAAGATCTATTTCTGGCAGGAAGCTGGTACTGGGGAATAATCCAAGTGGAAGTTTCTGAGCTAACAGAGACATGAAGTCAGGACCAGTAGGAAGGACGTTGGCTTCTGGGTCAGAAGAGACAAAAGGAGACAGTCTGGGACTCTAGAAAGTTCTCAAGACCAATTGCAACCCAGGTTTCTGGTATGCTGGCTCTGAACTTTTATCCTCACCTTCAGAAAGCCCCACTCATAAACTCTCAACCTCACTGTTAAACTCTCTAGGGGTCTAAAGGGCCTTGAATTTTTCCTATGAAACTTAATATCTGTGGAACTGGGGTATTCTATCCATTTATACACAAGTGAACAAACAATGCTGTCATTCTACTGCATAAAAGTCTCTAGGATGTTTTTAAGCACCATGTACTTAACACGGCCTAGTGTTTTGTAAGTCTTAACTAATTCTCACATTAACCCTTGGAGATAGACAATGTTATCATCTACATATTGTCGATAAGGAAACTGAGGCCCAGTGAGATTATATTACCAGAATTTTATGCCCCAAACTGCACTCCATACTGCATTACTTTTGAGGCAGAGCTACCTGAAGGCAGGGAAGGAGTTTATTTTTCATCTCTGAATCCTACCTCTCAGCACAATTCCTGATACTCACTAGGTGCTTAATAAATATTTGTTGAATGATTGAATAAGTCAGTGAGTCAATCTCTCCAAGAGCTTGGCATCCTGGATGGATACATCTCATGACTTAAGTAGGATCACCATGGAAGTGTCTATATTTTAAGGGGATCTATCAGGCTACCCAGGAAGAATGTCCCATTCTTTTGGTCATTGGACATTTCCTTGTCTTAGGACCTTTCACCAAAATCTAGGATAAGAGCTCCTTTGGGAAGCAAGGTCTTGACCAATTGTTCTACCATTCTGGTGGAACAGAGAAGAGCCTCAGATGATAAAACAGAGAAACCAGGAATATCTACTTCATAATTTCTCATGGGCCAGGCTGGGCTGATTATGCTGTGTTCTTCCTCAACCCAACATCACAATCACTGTGTTTCTTAGAAACAAAAGACCCATGGGGCACAAAGGACAGGCGTACAATGTGCTGTGATCGTTACAGTCCACTGATGGAAGGGAATGGAAAAATAAATCACAATGTGACAGCTCCAAGTAAAGTGAAGTTCATTTTACTCCAACTGAATGAGTTGTTTAGAGTCATGGTGTGTGCCTATTTATGCAAATCATTATTCAAAACAAACTAGTTTCTTTGGCTCCCTGAAATATAACCAGGTGAGTGGGGCATCGTGGGGAAACAACTACATTATTTTTGGTCTCTAAGTAAGAGAGGTAAATCTCAAAAAGGTTTTTTTTTTTTTTTTTTAATTTCCAATAACAGCAAAATAATCCTCCTGCTTCTTTTGTGCTGGATAAATTCAAGAGACGTTGACCTAGAAAGCTATTTGTTTCTTATTATTTTCACTATTATATATAATTTAGTGCTTTTATGATGTGTAACTAATACTGCGGTTACAATTTGTATGTGCTTTGCATTAATTTTCCTTTGGAAGAGTTTCCCATTGCATCTTTATGACAAGTAAATAAGCTCCCAAGTTTACCAGCACCTCTATAATATCAATTGCTTGCTTGCTTCCTTCCTTCCATCCATAAGCAAATATTTTCAAGTGCCTTCCACATACCAGGCACTATGAGGAGTAATTGAGACAATATATGTAAAGTTCTTAGAAGAGTTCTTGCCATGTAAGAAGCATTCAGTAAGGGTTAACTATTCATATTTTGAAAACAAAATAATCTCCTCCATAGATGGTAATCCTAAAGTAGGTACTACTATTACCCCCTTTTATAGATGAGGAAACTCTATTTTAAATCAACCCAATGG